GCCCAACGCCTCCAGCTTCAAAGCTATTTTGAGCAATCGAATCTGCTCTGAATTGGGAAGCATTTTTAATTCAGCTGATTCAAATATCGGAATAACATCCACCTGTGCCTAGTCGTCTACCGTACGAAACTCTTGTGCCGGTTATTGAACATAAAATTTCCTTGGTTAGGTTTCTCCGGCTTCCATTATCGACCCTGCAAACTGAGTGGATCAGTGATATATTTGGCATGGAGACCGAAAATCATCCCACTGGCAGCACCGAGGAATAATGCCAACAACGGCCTCTCAAGTTCTCACTGCCAGACTGCTGCCTCCATTGGTATCCACAGTCCGGCCAGTGTTTTTCTTTTGTCAACGCCGGGCAACGACCCCTCACTTTGTGATATTGTGCCATGCTCAATATTGTCATTTAAGCAAATGGTGATGCTGCTCGTTGATTGGCTAAGGTCGGACCAAAATGGCCTTCCGGAAAATGTGATAAGTGATAGAAAGTGCAAAGATTGCTTTTGTAAGGCAAAACGTTAGAAAAGCAGGACCACGCGAGTTATGCCTGTCCTTGTCTTACCCGCGACCGCCTCCGGGTCCTGTACCGCTCGTTACCAGCTGTCCATTTGTCGGGTGATTACAGGGCATTGCAGGATCTGAAAAGTCCAGAGTGCAGCATCTTGCATCGCCGAACTCGCTGCATGAACCACGCGAAATAGGCAATAAGAAGCATATAAGGTGTCTCCAGTGGGATTTTACTGCCAATGTGTCGGGTTACAGTACATGACTGTTGTACCACCTGCTGTACCTGCGTTTATACCAGATTGTTTGTAACCATGGACAGAGCGTGGGGAGCGATCATGTGCACAGTGAGTGCCATATACCGAACGCTGTTATAGAGCCCCTCGTATAAGCGTTTCACTCGACGGTTGTCTCGGCCATATTCCCCAGCAGTCCAACCGTGTCGAGAACATTGAAGTCCTACCGCAAACTCTCAGGAGGACACCCGTCTGGGAAAGGGACAAATATTGTGGGATTGTGGATTTCCAAGGTGTGCGAATCACTGCGACATTTGCACAAAGCGCAGCGCGCAGTCTTTCGTGACGAGGCTTGCGACGTCAACAAGCCCAGCGGCGCTTCGGGGAGAAGTTGTGTTGGTGTTGAAAGGGTTGGCTGTGAAGCTTTGGGGCAACTGGCGACTTCCTGGTCGGATTTCTGGTTTCCTTGCCTCGATAGTCATAAAGGTGGCTGATATTGCTTTTGCACTTTCTCTCTGGGGGGTACGAGTATGGAGTACGTAGATACTTGTTCGCATCACAATTGGCAGGATTGCTGAGCAGCACTGAACCTCCTCGCAGGCTCGCACAGTGCTCAGCGGGTGCGGCCGCACAGCCAGTCGTGGCACAGAGATTGGCAGAAGGTCGAGCGCATTCGCATTTGCGGAGTTTGTGGGGGTTGTTTCGAGGGGATTCGAGAGAGTAATATTGCAATTCCTGCGATGTTGATATCGCCATGTTTGTGCCGTCGCCCGTTCTGCGCTCCATTCCCAAGTCCCCCGACGCGACGCTGGTCCAGATCATAGTGGTTCCATGAGTTCACCGAGCTGCTGCAGCTGTCGCCGTTGTGATAGCTTCATATTGATTCCCTTCACACGTGCACCGGTTGTAACATGTCAATCCGCGACAAAAGCTTTGGTCCAAGCTGAAGTGCAGATGCAAGTACAGGTGAGGTGCAGCGGTGGAGTCGAAAGTCGAGACGAAGGGGCTGTTGACGTTGGAAGTTCGCCTGCCAACAACTTTTGGAGCCCCTGTGTTGTCAGCTGACATTGGCCCCCTGGGAAGAAGTCTGTACGACTCCCACACTCCTATACAAAATATGTGTGCGATAACGACGATCACGCACGTTGTTCCGACGGTGAGATCTATGGTCGTGAGTGCATGTGGAGTAGAGTTTGCGAATTACCGTTGTTTTCTTTTCTTCCAAGGTTCGTAATGGCTGCATCCTGTTTAGGCTTCATTTGCGAAGGACAAAATATATCTGCAAGCTAGATGAATCTTGAGAGTTCGCGTTGGAAATGGTACCATTGGTGCATAATCAGAAACTGCAAAGATCTGTGATAGATTTCCGCGGAGAGGCAAAAGAAATGTTGATACTGTGCCTCTATCTCCCGAGATCTCGTCAATTTGACGCAGCGCTCTCAACTGGGAAGCATATGTTTCTCGAAGGTTGTTGAAGTTGAATACCATGTGATGTCCTATCTCTCAGTGGCCACGAACAGATATATTTCCTACGTGGGGGTTTTTTTTAACCTGAGATTGAGGATTTCCAAAAGGGTCCTGGTCGCTTAATTTGATGGCAAAGCTTCATACATCACTTCAAAGAATGGAATCCTTTAGAGAGAGATCTTACTGTCATGTCGGATTTTGATGATAAGACATAATACCATGTGTGAATTAGCTTATTCACTGCAAAGAATAGAGGGTATAGCAGTCTTGCTATTGGACATTCCAGCCCACAATAGAATTTCCAGAATGCTTTTCTTGGATTTAGACTATCGAACATCCTTGATCAGACTGATGGAATGTTCGCAACTAATACATGCTTTCAGGAATTCCAATTCTCTGTCTCAAGAGGTGTGTCGACTGTAAATATTACTTACCTCAATATCAGATAAGCAACAGCCGTCCGCTGATGCTGCTTACCAGAGAAGGTCCTTGTGACAACAGACGCATTCAAATCCCTATATTTAGAGTTCAGAAATGGGTTAAAAAAATCTCAGAGAGTCTTCTTCATTGATGGTGGGGGGTTATACAAAGCAGCTTTCGAACAAATTGAAGAAAGATGACCTACTTGTATAACTCATCCTGTCATGTTAAAGAGTAAGCTCCTATACTGCTATTATAAGTGATTGGGGGAGAGTCTTTTGTAGAAATTTTTTGGTTGTACTACAAGACAGCCAACATCGTACTTGCTGTGAATTTTTCAGGACATAAAAAACAGTGAGTGAACACTTGTGATATTTGAACCAACTTGAAGCTAAGGCTTGGGTGACAAGAGAAAATATAGACAATACATTTTGTAGCAGAGTTGTGAAATGGTACTGGCTGTATGATACAATATTCAGGCAATATAGACTTATAAAAAAACTATTTGGCTTATTGAATTATACTCAATATCAAAACACACCGTCTATTATCATTTCTTGGATACGATGCTTTTGACGAGGAATACTTGCTGTGGAAGGAACAGCAACCTTGAAGGTACTTGTAAACTTAATAGAAATGATCCAGAAAGTGTTTCAACATTTGGAATAGTTTAAGAAGCGGTGAAAATGAAGTATTCGCAAGAAGACATCCGCAGCCAGACTCTCTCACTTCAACAACTCACTACATCTCAACTAAGGCCCACAATAAAGCATACCTAAATAAAACTCCACTCAACTCTCACCTTCTCTCACATTCAACATCATGTTCACAATTAAATCCTCAAAATAACCAACTCTTGAGATAATTCCCAACTCACAACATCGGCTCCTAAAACGACCTAACCGTCAACTGCCGCATCACCTACTACAAGTATATTTCCGGTCTAAACAAGCACGTCATAGCAACAGAACAATAATAATGTTCCTCAAATAATATTACCAAAGTCAAGTAAAAGTCGATACACAACAGTGTCTCGATCAAGAGGGCTAAATATGACTGTTAGGGAAAGAGAAGAGGAAGATAGGACTCACAACAAGACTTTACATTTTGTCTTCACACTGAAGGTAAAGAGCGAAGCCACGTCTAAGAAAAGGAGTCCTTTGACAGGAAAGCATGTCCACCACGGGCCGGGACCGATAAACTGGTTAGTACTGGACCCGACCAGTACGCACGACATCATAGTCAATACTGTTCATGACATAATTTTTTCGCCCACATAGTCTTCGATTTCTCACTCTTATCTGTAATAATGCAAGTCTTGAACAAAATCATTGTTAAACTCTGCCGATAGATTCAAAGATTACTCGCCACTTTCGCACTCCTCGGAATTACCTTTGAGTCAAAAATGTCCATGTACCTTCCATTCGATTATCCGCCGCAACTTCGCTTCTTCACGATACCCCAGACTTTCTCTTTCGTCGTGATTCGGTTGATAGACCAACCTAAATATTGGGAGCGTTCGCCGCAATTGTTGCACTGGCGTGGTTTCTACGCTACCATCCGATCTCAGAGGGAAGGAAGAGTATGAGATGGCTTAGGATTATCATACGCGGATTGGTTATCTTACGTATGGTTTGGTTTGTTCAATGGTAGTCTTCCCGAGTCTTTGCCCTCTCCTGGTAGCTTTTGAGGAGAACAGATTACTGATTGCCTTTTTAGAGTCGCTGTATAGGTATGGGGTTTCCAATCGCTATACACAAGGAATTATCACATAGGTTTTAGTTACTCATAGATAGTCTTCTAATTCGCGTATCGTTCAGTAATACATAGCATCCTACATCAAGGAGGTATGAGTGTTTGTCTACGTGACGAGCACCCATGCGGTGACAGCGGAGCAGAGAAAATGACCTTTTCAGGTGACGGCATGACGCACACCTTCTCCAAAATGGAAGAACAAAGGTCCCACATTCCTCACTGTTAATATCAATCATTAGCAACAGTGATCAAAACCAAAGGTATCATGCACTAGGAAACACTACCAGAGATTCATTTTAGAGGGGTCACAACAATGCTTTGTCTTGCCATGACTGTTAATCTTTGTTTGAGTACAACAATTCATTGTTTAATGATGAGTCTCTTTCTTCGACACGAAATGTCTTTCATCTCTATCCCTCATGTGCTCAGGAACAACACTAACTTTCAAGGAGCTAAAACAGTGTAGAGATTTTTACAAACAACTCCATGAAATACATAAGAGTAAGTTTGTAGCAACCTAACAGAACTTCAACATACCATTAACCAACTTTGTTGTGTTTTATGTTAAAAATCTCAAATACGGCACTACACCCTCAAATTCCCAAATCACCAACAATGGACTCAATCAATCACCAACAAGTTCGAGAGAAATGCTTCGCTTATGCTGATCACTTGGAAACCAGTCTTCCTGCTATAACACAGCTACTGACAGTGTACCAAAGTCAACACACCACTCTCGACGAGATCGAGCGAAGTATCGAATGCCTCAGATCGACACATGAGTTAAATCAATATTTGACTCAGCGTACCGGGCAGGTTTGTACCTTCTTCCCCGTCAATCTTCCAGTATACTCATTGGTATTATTCGCCATCGTCTCATCATTCATGGCTGACAGAGTCTGCCTCCGCCCACCACAAAAAATGATTCCAGTTTTCCAACAACTCTTTCCATTGCTCAAACTCGCTGAATTCTTCCCAAACATCAAAGTAAGTTTCGCTTCCCGCGAAGAGTTCGTGAGAGATGTTGTGGCGGAGTCTGATGTTACAATCTTCACGGGTAAGGAAAGTACTGCTGGTTATATTCTTGGACACACGAAGAAAAACAGTCTTTTTCTCTTCAATGGATGGGGCTGCAACCCTATTGTGGTGACACCAGATGCTAATATCGATCTTGCCATTACAAAGACCGTGGAAACCAAGACCTTCAATAGTGGTCAGGATTGTGCGGGGCCAGATAACATTCTGATTCACAGAGACATCGCAGATGCCTTCATCGACGGTCTGAAGTCTGCAGTAAACGATGTCAAAGTAGGATCTTATACCGATCCCGACGTTACGGTTGGGCTGATCGCTGAAGATGGTTCTCTTACTTGCATTGCTTCTCTGCTCCAACAACATCGATCAGATATTGTCTTTGGTAGTGGTATCAACTTCGCAAGCACGATCGTGTCACCTACCATCATAGTCGCCCCTTTATCCCGCACCACCAACTACAAAGAATTCTTTTCCCCGGTGTTCTTCGTCAACATCTACGACAGTGATGACCAACTCGCTGATTACTTCCAAGATCCACAATACGCAGCTAATGAGATGTATGTTTCTCTCTTCGGAAACAGCAAGTACATTTCTAGCCTCAAGCGATCAATTGTCTACCGCGAACAAACAATCATAGATGTTGAACGCGGAAACGTAGCTTATGGCGGCTACAGTCACGGTGCTTCCTTCGTCGCTACAGGAAGTAACATCGAGGCGAGACCTATCCTTGTTCCCAAAGAAATCTCCCAATACATAGCTTCCACCAGCATCACACCGATTGGTGCTGGTAAATCTAAACGCATTCAGAAAGCTGTGAGCTCACTTCTGACGACTCACTTCGGCAATAACCTAGTCTTTGGTTTTCTGTTTGGTAGTACGGCATTGAACAGAGCCACGAACAAGAGTGATATCGATACTATGGTAGTCATCAACAAACACAACACCGAGCAGATTTCTGCATATCTAGATGCCATTCGAGAACTCACCAGCGAGATGGGAATGACATACGATTCCGTGTGGCCATCCGAAATCATCACAAAGTCGGAACTAGAACACATGCTCCTGGAAGCTAAGACCATAACCTTCGATGCCGTCGGCACGAGTTATTCATTCTGGTTGGAAGACGTACAAGTCCGAATCCATGCACTCGCAGGATGTAAGAAAGGTATGACTGGTGACCTAGCCCTGCTTAGGGAGGTCGAAAAGGCAACGGGAAAGTATCCCAAGCTTTGGAAGGCCGCGATCTTCGCAGAGCTTGACGAATTGGCTTCAAGAGATCCAGATGCTGAAATCTTGCAGTCATTGAACTTAGAGAGTCTGAGACGATTGGAGGGTAGCAAGCTGATGAAATTTATGCATGAAAATATCTGGTGTCATCTCCAAGGAGAGAAGGCTGAATCTTCTGCTGGGGACTCCAGTGATGAGGATGGATCTAGTGTCTCTGGGGATGAATCGTTGCCAGACTCCGTGGAATCGATGAACGGCTCTTGTGAGTCGTTGAACCCCAACATGATGAACGCGAAAGCAATTGCGTGCTAAGAGCTTACGAGTTTCTGTCTGACCAGCTTCCAGTTGCTGATTATGTTCGTCATGCCTCATTTCTAATATAATAATCAAATTTGCAAATATAAAACAATCTTATTAGCGTGACATAAATAGCATTTCGCAGTGGGGAAAAAACGGCCCTGTTACTGACTGGATGTGAAGTTGAGAAAATGAGAGGCCTATATCGCATGTCCTACTACTAGTAGCGGATTGAATATCGTACGTATTGTTCCGAATTTACACATTTTAAGTTTTAGTCCACTCTCGAAAATTGAAACGTGTCGCGAGTCGAGAGCAGTTGAGGAGAGATCAGGTTATCTGGAGAAGCCCTAGGGTCAGCTGACCACGCGATTAGGGAGGAGAGCTTTCCGAGATTCATTTCCCTCTTTCCCTCTTCATTTTCCTTCCTGTTCTGCATCGTACCGATGGCGTTGGCCACTTTATCCATTTCGATACTACTGACGGTAGTTTGCGTAACTATAACATTGCGTCAATTTGCGATATTTGTTTCCCAATCACCGAGTTGAATTGGTTTCCCTCTCGATGACGCGTCTATTGCTCAGAGGAACTCTGGAACAATACGGTAGGTTTCCAAACGATGGACGACTTTATCCTTGGTAAGGTCGAAGGCTCGAAGCACCTGATGGGGGTAAATAGGTGCTGTATAGATACTATACAGGCAAATAATGAATTTAGTGAACACGACTACGCGTCACATGCGACACGAGAGCCACCGACGTCGACATCGGTTTACCGAGCATTGTAACACTTGTTGTTAATCGCGATGGCGTTTCTTACGTTCCCGGTTGGAATATCCCAGTACAATAAAGCAATATCGTGTCGAATGCGGAAGAGTTTCACGATAATACGAATTCTGGACGATTATGCCGAGACATTGTAAAGCAGGCAGTTGGATATCTGGACTCATACCCAACCATAAAAACATCCGACGGTATTGGTAATACATATGTGAATCTGCGTTCCGACCCGTTCGACAGAGGAAGCGAAGAGATGATGCCTTTACGTGTGGAACGCCGATTAGGAAGCCTGGCTATGAGAGGAATTTAGAAGGGGTGTTAGGAAGTGAGATAGTGCTGGACGCTTGCTTCTTTCTTCTCTCCTGGATTCGGAACCCAATGTCACTGATTGAGAGAGGGCGGCGGATAAAGAGGGACTGGCCAAGCGTAAATATAAAAGGCGTTGAGAGCTCCAACGGCGGCAAAGGAATTACGCGTTCGCGAAGCCATCGCAAAGTCGGGAGTCGACACGGTGCTTACGGAGAATGAGACTCGCAAGCTTGTGGTTCTGGAGCAACTATGGATATTATCACTCTTGATTTGACAAGCTTTCCTCAATTTGGACAAGTAACTCGGTGGTGGTAGACTAGGTGCCTTCGAAGCCGCTAGATTTGAAGAGTGAGGGAGATGTTGTTCGACAAAGCGAGAAGGCCACGGGTTTGGCACCAAAAAGCGTGGATGAGCTACGCAATACTGACGCAGCTGGCGGAAGTGGTATTGAGGTAAGAGGTAAACCCAGAGTAGAGTATTCCAACATTAGGGAGTCGAGCTATTGCTACGAATTAGAACGCCAGGTCAATGAGTACAAGCGAAGACCCTTTCAGGTAGCATCTGACACTATTCACACGCAAGCCTGCGAGTGGTGATGTTGATTGCTATATCGAATGCTGGCATCGCCAGGGACCTGAAGAACCAGTTTCCCGCAACCATGTCGAGGATATCAATTGCTATATCCATAAGATCTTGCATTTGGCGAACTGTTGTCCGTCTTTCACTTTCGCTCTTGGTTGGAGTTCTTGCTGCAACTTTCATGCCATTCAAAGTTAAGCCGCAAGTGGTCCATGTGAACGAGAATGATGGTTTAGATATCCTACTGAGAAATTCCCGGAGATCAAACTTTCTCGGACATATGCCAAGTACTCATATGAGTAGTCCTGGAGCAATCTACTGCAGCAAGCATTGTTTCATCGAGTATATACGTCTACTGTCTAAGATTGTTGGCGCGTGATGACCTTTCTTCCGCTCTCAGTTTGCTGCAGAAAGTCTCGTCGCATAATTGGCTGCGAGTAGTTACATCCAACAAATGTCAACAATGCCAACAACCCAACAAGGTTGGGCTTACCTCGGACGTTACATTCAATGTTCTATCATTTGGTTTTATTGATCTGGTTTTATTGAATCTCTCTATATTTTTGAGAAAACGTGTTAAAAGCTCTCATTCGCAATCGTGTTTCATTGTCTTTGGCACTTTGTTGTCAGCTCATCCAAATGACTATGTGGCCGTTCCGTACCAAGTACCCAGAGCACAAGCCAGAAGAAGTTAATGGGAAAGAATATGATTTTGTGGTCGTAGGAGGTATGCCACCTTCTCCGTGAGCTGGATTTAAGCATAAAAACTCCCGAGGTCGTACATTCTTGCTGACTTAACCTTAAAAGGCGGTACTGCTGGATGTGTTCTAGCATCGAGGTTGAGTGAAGATCCGAAAGTCTCAGTTCTTCTCATCGAGCGAGGACCTCTCAACGATTCATGGATGTCACGTATTCCTCTGCTATCTACGGATATCTTCAATCCAAGTACCGGCGCTGTAAGTTGGGACTGCGAGCCACTGAAGTATTGTGATGATAGAGTTACTCAGTTATATTGCGGGGAAGTTATGGGAGGAACGTCTAGAATAAATGGTATGGTGTATACCCGTGGGAACCCTGCGGAGTATGAAGCATGGGCTGCTTTAGGTTATCCAAATTGGAGCTACGAAAAGGTCTTGCCTTATTTCATCAAAAGTGAGAAGCACGTACACCAGTACTGGCAGAAGTGGCGTGGAATTTCAGGTAAGCAACTCATGTGGGTAAAGAATTACATGGTGATCGACCTGCTGTAGGACCATGGATCAATAAGTCAATTGTCTATGCTGAATGGGTCTTCAACGCTTTCCGAGCGTACGTAGCCTTTGGATAATGAAGTTCATAACGGCTGAAGTAATTTAGGTTCCTAGATGCAGCAACGGCCAATGGTTTCCCCTTAGTACTGGATGGCAGCTCACCTAAAGCACCAAACGAAGGTGTCGTTGTTGTTGATTCAACTATCAATAAGCGCAGTGAGCGAGTCTCGACGTTACAAGCCTTTCTTCCTCACGATGTTGTGTCGAAAAGGAGTAATTTAACAATTTGCACCAAAGCCGTGGTGTCTCGTCTTACCTTTGTGATGGAAGATGGACGACCTCGCCCTGATGAAGTACTACTGAGGCATAGCGATTCTAAATCTGAAGTTGTGTACTCGGTTAAGGTGAAGAAAGAAGTGATCGTTTGTTCAGGGACATTTGGCTCACCACCCCTTCTAATGCGCAGGTAAGTCGGCTTCTCCACTTCACGAATATTCTTGCATGTTTCTTCCTGGAAGTTCCATACCCCCTGGAACCTGATGCCTGTGTGCTTGTGTACTGGCTTTTTGTTGTCGAACAAACTCCACTCTTGTCGGGAAATGGTATGGAGAATTAGCCCATATCATTCTGGTACACGAACTTCCGAAGCCTCTATAACCCGTCACCGTATCTGTTCAAAACACTAACATAATTTTATCAGTGGCATTGGCCCTCGTAAACACTTGGAAGAGCATAAAATTGTTGTGGTCCGCGATCTCGAAGGTGTTGGTTTTAATCTGGTATGTTCTATTGTGTTTGTTTATTCCAAAAGTTTGCAGGCTTGCTAACTTATATAATAACAGAAAGATCACCACGGGTTTCCGCTTGTAGTAAGAACAATTGCTCATTCAGTGTCTCGTGACCTTCTGAAATAAAATAACTAACACATCTTGTGTGAAGTGGGAAACGCCACTCAACGAATCATTAAGCGAGGCCATGGTCCATCCCTTTAAGAAGGCTTTACCAGAGATGGTGAAATATATCTTACATGGGACCGGTATATTTAGCATGCCATCACAACATATTGCCCTTTTTGCACGTTCAAGGGCAATATCGGATGACGGCTCCGAATACAAGTTCGCTGGAGATAATACAAATGCAGAGCCCTCCGACAATTTGCCAGATTTGGAACTTATTCCAGCCGCAATCAGCACCATAGACAAACCAGGAGAACAAGGTCGGAGTGACCAAAGGTTGGGCACGGTGTCCATTCTGGCCACATACTTGGTACCAGAATCCTCTGGCTCTATTCGACTCTCGTCTACCAACCTCTTCGATAGACCAAAGGTAGATTTTGGGTTTCTTTCCAACCCTGCAGACTACATAGTCCTCAGAAAGGCAATCCGACTCTCCCTCAAATTAGCCGAGATAATGAAGGCATCCGGGTTTCCACTGCTCAATAACATCACCTACCCAGAAGCTAGCCAACAAAAAGACGCAGAGAATGGGAACGACGATGAGCTCGACAGATTGATACGGCAGTATATCAGGAGCGTCTTTCACTGGTCTTGTACCTGTAAAATGGGCTCCGAGGACGACTTGGGGGTCGTTGATGAGGAACTGAAAGTTCATGGTGTGACGGGTCTTAGGATCTGTGATGCTAGTATCTTTCCCAAGGGATTGAGTGCACACTTGCAGGCGCCTGTTGTTATGGTTGCTGAGAGATGTGCTGATTTCATTAAGAGTGGCATGTGAGCAAGCGAGATATCTGTGACGATGTCTTTGTATCATCGCAGATAAGTGCGGGCACAGATAAAAGACGTTGACATGGACTAACGTTCTATCTGACAACAATCATTCGTCACTAGTGATTTACTTTTTGTCGATTTGGTTGGAGTATGATTTAACTTTCAGGGTCTGAAATCTCCAGGGTGATCACCATGGAATACATGAGCTCGCAATCGCATTTGTTTCCTCAAGCAAAAACTTCACCAAGCAAGCAATTTCATAAATATAACATTTTATGCATTACACCTAACCAATCGCCAGGATATTACCCCCAAATGCATGAAAACAAATTAAACAGCTGGTGCACCATTCTTCACTGGAACCTCCTTCACCTCCTCCTCGACGTAACTTCCCTTGAACACCTTCTCAAAGTTGTGCTCATTCCATCTGACCTTTGGCTTGAGACCGGCAAACTTCCATACACCATCCACCTTTCTGTAGTAGTGCTCATTGGTGGCATGGGAGTGACCTCGAAGCTTGACCTTGGAGAGAGATGCATCTTCATAAACCTGGTGGGCAGCACGGAGCTGGTGGTTGCCAATGACTTCGGTGTCGGAGACACGAACCCAACGGGTAGCACCTAGGAGATGCTGGGTCTTGACACATGGGTCGCCGAGGAATCCGTCGTCGGTGATCATGCCCATGAAGTCTTCTGCGGACATTGCTGGCCAGCATGGCTTGCCAATATCGGTGTAATCAACGAGAAGCGTTGGTGCAATGATGCTGCGAAGGCGTTTCCAGTCCTTGAATATGTCAGTAATTAATTGTATATTGTTCCAATGAAATACAGACTTTGGCATCGTAGCTGTCTCCCCAATCGAACATCAAAGCTGTGAGTTCAAGGTGGTCTAGAATTGTTAGCATATTAAATTCTGGTTTTCTTAAAGTACTAACCCTCGAAAGAGATTTGCTTTGCGCTCTGCCATAACTGTGGCTTCCCCATGTTGGAAGAAGAGTTCTCGTCAAATGAGATGGTGAAAGTAGGCATCTTCAGGAATTCTCGTCAAGTTAAGTTATTTATTGATGGTCTGCGATTGCGACTTGATGATTGTTGAGACGTCACGAAAGTTTCTAGTTATATAGAACCACATCGCTTAGGGGTGTTGAGTCGCATATTCGGATGTCCGCCGCGTCCGCAACGGAGGTCCCTTTTGTAAACTCATACGACCCCAAATAAGGACCCGGAGGAATTGGAATGGAATATCGGTTCTTATGTTCACCGACTCCGAGGATATTGGTGCAATTAATGCGTCGCAAATCCGGGGCGTTGCGGAGCAGAGCAGCTTTACCCTTTGGTGTTGACCATTCACACTTGAGAGAAGGTTCGGATTCCAGCTTGCCTTCCACCACCGGATCCGTTATGTCATGCGCTGTAGCTTGAAGGTCTTGATATGTTTAAGAATTAGCCTGCCTGCCTGCAAATGGTCATGTCTCGAAAGCCAGATGGTGTGTCCTACAAGTTTGCGGTTTTGAGTGCTGTATGGACTGAACTTTGAACCTCTCAAGAATCCAACAACAGCTGAATGGTCGACCGGACTCGATCCACGATATATCATACTGCCGAACAGAGACATATTCTCTTAGAAGAACAGGCTATCCGTCATGATAGGGCGGGAAAGTATGTGTCTCGAATTGTTGGGAAGGTAAACGTCACGTTGGACAGGTTTTTTCCCATCCTATACTTTGTCCCTGGAATACAACGATCAGCTTATGACATGCAATTGCAGAAAACGAAGACGGTTAGGGCTCACCACCCTCTAATAAGACATGCTTCGTTCAATTGAACTTCCCAGTCGCTAATCTGCGAATGCCACAAGCACAAGTTGTCTTGTGAGAACAAATATGCTGAAGTCTTCGCAAAAATGTAGGGACATTTCGAGAACTCTATGCTAACGTGAATACAGATCTCCAATGTGCAAATGAACAAATGGAAGACTGTGCCCCGTTACTTTGACCCAGTGAGGACCATTGCAAGCTTACCGGCTCGACCGGCTACGTATAGATGATCGCCTCAGGAACCCCCCCCGTCTAACGGTCTGGAAGATATCCGTGCAATCGTTTCTGGGTTTATCCCTCCGCGGCACTAGATATCGCGAGGATCTTAGGAAGTGATCCGGGGATGTTCGATAGATTTGCTATCTGTTTCGGTTCATTCGACGTCCCAAGCAGGGACATGTCTGGACCACAAAGCAGCGGAAAATTTACTAGGAGAAGTCTGATGAATTTGGAAACTTCTCGTTCAAAGACAAGAATAGAGGTCAAGGCGGTTGCATGAGGTAGAGTGAAGTGAAGATGGCATCCGGAACAGCAGGCATATCCTGTTGGAACAAGTGAAGACCCAAGAAAGCTAGGTACATTTGGTGCTTCTTGCAATGTACACTTACAGGATTGAAAGACTGTAGTAGCCAATTGGGTCAGTAGACAACGAAATAGTTAATTTATCTTGCCAGACATATCTCGCTTGCATTTCATGTCCCGACGTTTTCGCGCAGTCGAACCATTCTTGCCTTTTCTAGCGCCGCGGAATCGGATATATCAACAGACGTTCAGGTGTTCTCTTTGGCCACTTTTCATCTTTTCCAAGCCAAGACTTTTGCTCACAGGTTGGTCGACTGCATGTCACGGTCTAGTGACGGTTAGGTGGGTATTTCAAGTATTTAAGCGAGCGCTTTGGGTTGTGGAGAGTGGAACGGTGTGACTTACTGGGTCCTGGAATAAACCCTCATTTGGTATGTAAAAACTAGTTAGACATCTTTTTGACGTATTATGGACGTTTCCCTTAATTGGAGTTTGATATGATGGAATTGCAATATATTGTGATAACCACATACGCCATAATCGAAGAAAAGATGGGTGTGTGAGGCCTCGAGCGCCTCTGTAATCAGCATACTTGATTGTATTGGGCACAGCTTCATATTCGCCAGCATTCAATGTTGTTTGGAAAAATATTCTGACTGTCAGCAAAGGCCAGTCTCGACTCAATCTGGTGCTCTAAAATCAGGAGGATCCAAGTCAAGAAACAGGAAATTGTATTCTTGACCCAGCATGAAAATCTCGTGAAGTTTAGACTTTGCTAGATTTGCTATTTCCACATTTCCATGATTGTCAAAGTCAACGGGGAAGATTCTGGTACCGTATCTCAGGTTCTTGTCGTTTCGTCGAGATCCTTGCAGCTGAACAAAAGCAGAGAAACATTGCTTTTGTATAAGAATATGATTGAAACGTTCCACGAATGATCATTAATAACTGCAGTTATGCCTCAAGACTCTCGGAATTCTCGTCATCCGTCACCCACACGTTGCAGGAATTACAACTATTGCTCCAGCAGATGATTCCCCGGCCTATTGGGTCTTGTGGTTGTGTTCCGAAACAACACAGTCATATGTTTGTTTGCGAGAAAAGTGGCGATTTCGAGTCTTGTTTCCTTCAGTACCTGGAAGCATAATTCGGTGAGGCCGTGAGGCAGTGCAGGAAACATCTTTTGCAATCCTCTAATCTGTTTCTTGTCAAGTGCTTCAACCAGATCGTGGTTCGTGTGGTTATGCATTGAATTCTATATCGGGATGGAAGCCGGTGACGAATGTGCTTACACTCAGAACCCCGTACAATGGAGTTTTGCGTCGCCAATGAAGTTGGCCGAACTCACCAGCAACATGAGGAACACGCGATATCCATCTCCGGTGACGAGTTGATGGTGTTGTTGGAGGAAGTGTTAGGCGGGTACACAACATCAGAACTTGACCGAAAGCTGTACCTCCGCCGCTCATGTCTTGCAGTCGGCAAAGATCAAGGGACGTTTGTCCGGAAAGATAAGGAATGTTTGAGCATGGTTTTGGTTCTGGCCAGTGATTATCGACGATGTCTTGTGTACCTCCGTACCCGACCGGGGGGATCACCATGAGTTGCCGGACAATCAGATTCGGCATAACATGATAAGATCCTGGAAGTCTGCCCCGCTTACCATACATATTATGACCTCAAGGGTCACCAACGCAGAGCAACTATACATGAGCATTTGAGCCCTGTTTATTGAGCACTTGTGAGGCATCTCGTTGGGGAGACCCAGCTTCCTGATATCTTCTCAAAATTGAATCAAAGTGGACGGAACGCTTACAGCGAGGCTTCGCCGAGTTCTTTCGTCTTTGACAGAAAGCGTAGATATCTTCTGGATCGACCAGATGTTGAACTTATCATTATGGTAACAAGAGTATTTTCGTGTGTCCTCGCTTAACGTCGAGGCGTATGTGACGCCATGTCCTAGATTAATAATCTGCCCTTCTTAGAGCTCCTAGAAACACGGAATATATCTATATTGTCCTGTAGCTAGCAGAGTTCTAGATAGCCATACGGATCTGGTTCCATACGTCGCTGTAGACACCTCCGTCACCCCAGTCCTTGGAAATCACTAAATAGGATTGGCCGAGGCGTCATTGAGCCGCATTTGAGCGTCACGGTTGACTCGTGAGAAGCAAGCTGATTGTATTGGGCCCTAAAACGGCGTTACTTGTATGAATTCATAAGTTTCGATAATATTGCCGCTGAAATCAAGCCTGGTTTTCACTCTAGCCGAGCACGTGACCACGATAACCGTTACGCTTTGTCGTTTTGTCTTCCGTTTCACGATCTATTTTCCCACTTGGACCCTGCCCCCTTTTCAACGTTGTGTCAAAAGTGATAGACAGCGGTACGCATCCAATCATCGCCATATGTCAAGGTGTCACCCCGCCGGCTCTAATCTGTTGGAACCCCGCGGTGGAACTTGCAAGTAACAGCCTGGCTGCTGGCCGATGAGGATAACGAATATCTCGGATTTGCCGCTCCCAAAGCTATACTGCTCCGACTGGGCAAGAGGCTAATTAAACAGAGCCAACCAATCCTGCCAACCCCTCAAGATAAATACGCATTGCGTCGTGCGGTCTGAGATTTGCGGCCGTTCCTTGTTGTGAGATCTTCTGGCAGGCTGGCACAGACGAAAAGAACGCCTGAGGGGAGGGATAGCCCCAGTCCCCCAAAAAGCACACCTCAAAATAGGAATGACATATTCGGATCATGCGGACCGCAATTCGGATCTTATATCATTGGAGTAAAACTGAAAATAAGCTTCTGAACGTCGTGGCGGATGAAACTGGCACCCTTTCCCGCCAACATACATATATCGGTAGCTGTGTTGTATATATCCTCATCACTGCCAGAGAATGAGGCTGAATCCCTTGACCCAGTCCAGCTAACTATGCAACGGTAGCTAAACACACTATTATCTATTCTGAACCTATCCCAGCTTCGTACAACAACATCTTTTCTAGAAGCTCGCGTAGGGCTTGCGCGTGTCAACATGGTGAACACGGGAAAGCCATCACAAGGTTGTTATATGTGCCGGGCCCGACGCATCAAGGTAAATCATTACTTCCGGAACGGAAAATTTTCACTGGCCAAATCTATCTGGAAAGTGAAAGAAAGTAGAGCTAACGAAGTGCAGTGCGATGAGGCGAAACCCAATTGCATGCGATGTCAGAAGTCAAAGAGAATATGTCCTGGCTATCGAGATGCGTTCGAGCTCAATCTTCGAGACGAGACAAAGTCGACGAAGAAGAAAATATCCCGCTTGTTTAATCACAGGTCATTTCTGGAAGGCGTAAGCCAACTTCAGAGTCCCTTCGACCTGGTCAATCCCTCACCAACCACAATTTTTACGCCTATGACCGCCACCAATCTTGAATCATACAACTCACATATTCCATCAGCTCAGACATGGCAATTTTCCAAAGGTCACCTATCATCATCATCTAGCAGCAGCGTTTCCAGTCTAGGTAGCTTTGCAAATGGGTTAACGGGACACCTCGACCAGAGAGCAAATCACTCTCCATATCTTGCATATCATCCCGGGTGCATATTTACTCATCTCACTGTTCCGGCAGATCAACAGGCGGCTTGTTTTTTCCTGTCAAATTTTGTGGTCGTCCCGCAGCCAGGGACCCTTCGAGGATATCTAAGTTTCATCTTACCCTTTCTTGGAAGCGAACAGATGAGTCCGGCGGTGAAGTCCGCTTTCTCCGCTGTATCTCTTGCGGCTTTTGGGGCCCGACCTAATTCTAAGTCGTTACTTCCAAAAGCTGATACTTCATATTATACAGCGTTGAAAGAGATTAACGCTACATTAAAAAATCCAAGAATGGCCACGGATGACTCTACCTTAGCCGCGATTTTGATGCTGTCGACGTTTGAGGTAAGCACCATTCTAGTCCAATTAAACCTCACTAATATCCCATTAGCAAATCATGGCGCCCAGAAAGAGTCATGAAGGATGGGCTTCGCATATCGATGGCGCTATAGCTCTGCTTAAAGCTCGGGGGCCAGAAAGCTTTCAAAAGCCAGAAGGACAGGAGACGTGGAACACAGTCAGAGCGCTAATGGTATAGTCTCTTCTACTTGATATTGAACGAATTCTAATCTTGTAGGTCGTCCAACGGATAACGCGCTCCAAGCACGTAGATGTAAGCGAGGAATACTGGATGTCAGTTCCAGCAAAAGACGAATGCTCCAATGCCTTCGCCCGCTTGAACATCCGAGTAGCAAATCTCCGTGGCGATTATAGTGAAATAGCAGCACACCCATCTCGTACAGCAGCGGATTATGATGCTGTATTCGATTTATTACAACGAGCCAAAGCGCTTGAACAGGATTACGCGAATTGGTTCGACACACTAGAAGGCCCATGGGCTGTTACACCGGTAAACTGGATTGACTACCCAATTTCGGATCTCCAGAACTCACTCATACATCCTGGACGCGTTGATGCGTACACGGAAATGTGGATGGCATATCATCACAACATCGGCCGGTCCTCTCGCTTAATTACATGGACAACGATATTACGCTGCGTGGCATGGCTTTGCAATCCCGAAGATTACAGACTCACAGAAGAATACGCGACCGCCACTCAAGTCTGTCGAGGACTCATCGAGGATATCGTTGCCAGCGTCCCGTATATCTTCGGCTGGAATAAACAGAACGACGAGCATATGGCCGACCGATCAAGTTTTGCTTGCGGGACTACCGACTCCCCAAATGTCAAGTCGTTATGGGCTATCTTTGTCATGTGGCCTATTTTCAGCGCTGCAAATTCGGATTTCGCACTCCCTTCGGAACGTACGTTCCTGAGGGGGAGATTGAAGTATGTTAATGAGAATCTAGGCATTCATCAAGCTTCTGTGCTGCTTCACGTGAGTAATTTTAGCTTTTAAAGCATTGGTATATCTTGCAGGCAGCTGACTTTTTCATAGATGCCAGTACAATTTCCCTCATCCCTCATCCAACTCGAAAGACATCAACTTGCTGTTTATACTCATCGCATGAAGAAAACGGAAGAGACCGTAGTCAGCCAGACAGAACAGAGCAATTGGCCTGCAAGTTGAGAAAAACAAACACGATGTTGCAGCAATTTCCATTTTGGAGCGTATTAATTCAGGACCGTGCGGTATAGACTTGGTGGCGGCGTTATATAATTTCCTGATTACTGGTTAACAGCACATCCTCTTCGGGTCAACGGAAATACACGGGGTATTGATTATGGTTTCAATGAAGTAATGGGCGTCAACATACGGGAATTTTGTACTATATCATGTTTTTCCATATACCACTGGGCTGGTTGTTTATTTTTAAGATACATTTTTATTTCAAGATATATAGAATCCTTTTCGCAGATTAAATGGACTTAATCAATCAGAGATTCCTAATAGGAGGTCTAGGTAAATAGTTATGCAATAGCAGTGTAATAAGACATTTCATTTGAACGTATTTGAGTCAGCGAGCGTGACGAATCTAACGACTGCCTCTAGTAGTTTGCGATCAACACGAGACCACAACCACGAATCTATCATGCCTAACACAACGACATTAAAGCCGTCTTAACCCCTTCCGAATTTGTTCTGTAAACAACTCTCATAATCAAACCCAAAACGAACCAAATCACATTAGTTCACAATCCAAGAACTCACGCATATCAAATCGAGCCCCAAAATGTCTACCCTTCCAAATCAAAAATATGTAACAGAACTAGCAATCCTCCTCCTCACCCCACCAACGCCGTTCCTCCTCTCTAATCTACGTGCCGCCCAAGAAACCCTACAACAAGCTTCCGCCCACAAATTCACATATTACAAACCCTCAACCACAAGCACCACCACCACCATCATCTCCAAAATCTATCTGATAGGCACCTGGGACTCCGTCTCAGCACACAATACGTTCTTGAGCTCACAGGAGAACCTGGATTTGTTAGAGCTGTTGAAGGGTGAGATACAGGTTGAGGGGATTGAGATGTGGCATGTTGATATTGTAACGAGGGGGGTATATGAGCCATTGGGTGCAATGGAGGTTAGTGGGCTGGTGAGGTGTTATTTGGATGAGGAGAGGAGTGCTGGGTCAGCTGAGAAGCTAAAGGGACTGATGATCTTGGAAGAAATGGGGATCAAGGGAGGTTGGAGGATTACAGAAAATAACGAGGCGGGCGTGGAGTGGGATGGATTGTTCCTTGGACGCGGAGATGATTTTGACATTATCGCAAATGTCGTGGAAGAGCGATTGAGTAGGACTGGACGGGTGGAGATTTGCAAACAGGAGCTGTTTGACCTCGACATCAAAGTGAACTGAGCTTGGAAGGGCAATCCGAATCGAAACGGCGGACTCGACTTCTCATCAACTGCTGAAAATACTATTTTTCTGCTGCTGGGACTCTTCTCCACTACCATCCCATAGACAATTGCACCGATTTCACGAATGGTCACCAAAAGATGTGTGACAGGAACGCCGTCGAGGGGTCCGAAGTTGGGTGACTCGTTCAATTTCCGCTTCGCTATCTTCTCAGCTTAGCACTCCCAAATGCTCTCGTGTCAAAAGTCATGGTATGCCAGAGACGCCTTTGTGCAAATCATGTCCGTCCATTGTATGCATAACATTTCCCCCCATGCCCCTCGAATTCCATTCTTCATCTACACATTTACGCCTCTCTCTTTCCCTTAGCGTTCTTCTTTGGGGTGTCGGCGATGGAAAGACCTGAGAGGATTATTAGCACAGTCATACTCCAAAGCTTCACCTCGGTATCCAGCCAGCATCTTGGGTTCTAGTAGGAGCGATCGTGGCCAGTCTCGAGGATAGTAAACGTACTTGGTGGCAGCGATTGCTTGAGCTTCTCAACCTTCTCGGAATCCTTCAAGACAAGAGTGTACAAGTGGCGCTGGCATCGGACCTTGAACTTGACAATGGAGGAGTTCTTGTTGCGCTTTATCCGTGCAGCTATTCGACCATAAAATCAGCCTTAAATCCCAACAATTTCACGCCCATCATTGCGCATTTGCAAGCCCTTCCCTTCCTCCTCCCAAGCTCTGGAGTGTCATAAAGCAAAAATCGTGGTGTAAAAACATACATGAAGCATCCTTGCGTCTGCAAATCTCGATGAACTATCCTCCCAAATAAATTAGCCCAAGTCCCCTCACTTTCTTTCAATCCTTCAATGGCAAGAACAAACTTACGTTCTTGATATCTGAAATTTCGCGAGGCATTTTGGCGGTTATCGAAGTCGTGAATGGGGAAGAATTGGACGTGGAAAGTTAGTCGTGCTGCGATCCTAATCGTGGTGTTGATGCGAAATTTCCCACTGTGGGAGCATTAGGTAAGCGCACTCGGTTCTCGGAGTGGGGCGATAGGGATGTGTCACGAGGTGATAATGTTGCTGAGGTGTGGCGTAAACCCGGGAGGAGGCTGGTGACGCGGTCCTCCAGGCCACCTGCAAGCTGGACGGGATATGAAGAGGTGTTCTTATACATGAATAGTTTACTCAAATATTATATCTTTACTAAGAAATCCCATCTTGAAGCATCTTTCAATCTTACTCTTTCTTACTTATTTTTGCAAACCTGGCAAAACTATCGCAAACCAACATCAACTTCCTTCCAAGTTTCTCGCTACTGACCTCATACCATCAAAATGCCTACACCAATCGACAGAGCTCTTAATTCAAAGGTAATTTTATATCTTTAGTTTGAAATAGTAATTGTTTTAGTCAACTAACATCGGCTAGAACACAGTCCTTGGTACAGGCCACTTCCAATGCACACTAAATCTATCGTACTAACACAGCTTCAAGCGTTCGCAGGAGTTGTAACAGCAGCAGCGGCATGGTCAATATGGGGTCAAGACATGTTTCCCAAGGAAGCTGATCCTACAGGTGGTATGTAGCATGTTACTTTATACATTATCTAAGTAGTCGATTGTACTAAATAGCAAACAGATCCTGATAGATGGACCATGGAGGAGTTAAGAAGATGGCTGGCTGCCGTATGTATTTACTTTAAACGTCTTCTTTCAGGCATGTTTACTCTCTATGCTTTTCTGTACTAATTCGAACCCAGAGAAACCTGCATCCTAACTCTAAAGACACAAAGGAGCAGCTTGTTGAACGAGTCAAAGCGAATCTACGGACTCCAAGGGCATAAACGCGATGCTCTGCTTGGGCTGCGAGCTGGACTCGTAAACTTTGTTCTGCAATTTTTTGCATCATGGGGATTTAGTCAGAGTGCACTCAGAGTTCATGCTGGCATAAAGAGTGTCTTCCATAAGGAGCAGAACTGCAGAAATACAGCGTGCAATCAGAGTCACAATTACCAGCATTGAAGCCATCTCATATTTATACGTAGTTCATTAATTCCTAACTGATTACCTCGCAACACCAATTTCATTCCTCATTCCTCAAATAATTGCATAAAATCTGAAATTCCCCATACTGACCCAGATCAGAACTAATCCATTCCCGAATGAGAGAGATATACATGCTTTGAAATCCATAAAACTCCAAGTGGGTATATCCCAAGCTAATAGAACATCCAATGATATGGGGAAAAGCTCGCTTTTGTGGATCGAAAGCCTTCCGGAAGGTCTTCTATGCTCCAGAAACACCACCTTACAACTTGTGACAGTTTATTAAGGATTTGGTGTGTATCGAATGAGAGCCATAGCTGCGTTGAAAACGCAGTGCTAGGCATCGAAACAGAATTTGGATAACCAAATAAACATATATGCGTGTCATTGACGAAAAACCGAGAAGAGCAGTTCCCAATAAAACCAAGGACTCTTAGTCTTCAGTTGAACGTCCCCAAGTGGCCTATTCTAAATTAGCACCCTTTGTCGAAATAGCATGATATGTCAAACGTACCTCTCTTATCTCATTCTCTCTCTCAAGTCTCTCAGCGGCCTGTTCCATCTCCTGTACCTCGTGAGCTAGCCTATCTTGTTCGTCAAGTTTAGCTTTCTTCTTCTCAGCAGCTTCGAGACGGAATCTTGCGGCTGTGATACGTTTGTTAATGTCATCGCTGTCTCGATCAGCTGGAGGGAAAGAAAGTTTCCGTGATACTTCATCCCCTTCTGCTAGTATAGAAGGCTTTCTCTTCTCTGGACGCTTGATACTCAGGGCAGCGGATGCTGAGGAAACGTGTAGATCGGGTGGAAGAGAAGGTGACTGTGTCGATGACTTCACGGCTGTACTAAATAGCGTCCGGCGTACACCATCAACCCCGAGTGGTGACTGTATACGACCATCAATAGAACCCATCGCATCCGTACAAACTTTGCGAGAAAACTGGGAAGCAGAAGAGGTACGTTGATGGTTTCGAGCGCTACCTCGTTCCCGAGAAGGCGTTGGCGATTCGCTTAAATAGCCACGTCGTAGATTGTTTTCTTGCAAGGCGGACCCACGGAGTGCTGGTGAGCCGCGGCAGAGAAACCTAGACTCATCGTCCGTGTCTGGAGTCTGTTCGGTACTCCAAATAACGTTTGGAGTATGTGGTGGGCCCAACTCATTTCCACTATCCATCATCTCAGTATTGATACCAAGACCTATAGCCATCTGCTCTCTCGAACGCGGAGTATTGGCTGGCACAATTGCTTTAGCCGAAGAACCCAAAACTCGAGATTGGCTCGATTCAAAGTTCAGACTAGGGGAACTAATAGTATTTGGAGTTGGAGGGACAAATTGAGCAACTACTCTCGCAATATCTTCTGGGTCGACAATTTCCGTTGGCGCGTCTGACAATAATGAGGCTTCTCTGGGAACGACCGGTGTTCTTAACTGTACTCCTGCCGAAGAATTGTCATTAACCTGAGGGTTAGCAAACACAGCACTGTAGCACTCCTGGAGTGCAATTCCTGCATCCCTCCTATCCTGAGAAGTGTTAAATGATTGTGTGGAAGAGCCTGTAGTATTTGCCTGACCACCATACCGCACAAGGGTAGAGTGGAATAGGGATGGGTGTATATCATTGGGAGGAATACTTCCGTTGCCTCGCATATTGGCAATCTCTAGCGTAGCTTTATTGCTTAATTCAGAGGGCGACAGTAAATGCAGGTGTGATCTACCCTCATCGTTACTTGGAGTAGGTGTCTGCCCAGGAATAGTTGGCGTCACAACTACGAACTTGTCTAAAAGAGCCAACTCAGCTTCTTCCCGTACCCGCGGAATCTCGCCGGCGTCGTCCATCATAGTCTCTAGAACGGACTTAGGTGGTTGATCCGCTGGGCTACCCTTCACGCCACGAACAAAGAGAGGCTTCATTTTCTTAAGTTTGGTTGGCGACTTTGGCTGATTATTAACGAGTGGTAAGGGTAGGGTCGTAACTGTAGTTGAGGATGTTGCTTGTTGGTTAACGTCGATAGAACCTTTGTTAATAGGGGTAAACTTGTTCGTAGGCTCTTCTTTAGTATTTCCACCTTCTGTGGCGGTTTCTTGAAGTAGCTCGTTGCTAGCTTTCTGGAATTGCTCCATAATCGCTTCGCTCTCTTCCTCCAAATTGATAACGTTAGACTCGATTATCTTATCATCGGATTTTATAGTCTTTCCCTTCTTCGAAGTTTTCTTTGGCTTTTGATCGCCGGTCGGCTTGGCTTCTGACTTTGAAGATGATTGTGCTTTACTAGTCTTTACTTTGGATCCTTTCTCGGGCTTCTCGCCTTTGTGTGCCTTCTCAGGCGCACCTGGCAAAGGTTTTCGACCTTGTTTGGCTGTCTCCTCAGAGCCTATAGTACTTTGAACCGCAGGCGCCTTAGATGCTGACTGGTACTCTGGCACATCTTCAAATCCAAGTCCTCGAAGTGTTGCTGGTGTCGCCAAGTGAAATTTCACGGAGGTGAATAACCGGAAGTCTAACCTGGGCTCCGTTATTTTATCTTTTGCCACTCTGGAAGTCTTGTAATCGCCTGAGAATCTGTTTACTTCTTAGCCTTCTCTGCTATGGAAAGGTAGGATAGAAAGGTAGAATAGAGGTCACTGACCCGATTTCAAAATCTTGCGGCACGCCTGTTGTCAGCCGAAGATTCTGATCTGACCATCGGGGAAAATCCTCAAGGCTCCCAGCCCGACTCTCGCCACTGTTCTGGGCCACATTGTTCCAAGCAGCTACAACATCTTTCGGTAGTAATGCATCTGGATACTTGCGCCAAATCTGTAGTTCTACAGTACCGAGGTCTAACGTCTTTTGGCCGTCGGCGGCTTCCTTGTCTATCTGCGGTTAGCACATCTTCCATGATTGCATAATCTGAACATACCATCAAGGCTGTTTTGAAGTTGAACCTCCATGACACCGGCCTTCAAGCCCCTCTTCTTCCCTCCTTCAAACCTGTGATAAAGCACTCGATCGAAAGATACAGTGTTAGTGTACTTCTTGCCTCTCCCCTTCTTGGGCGTGGAGGTGGCACGCAAAACGCCATCAACCACCAGGTCGACGAACTCCTCTACCTCGTCTTCCAAAGATGTCTCAGTTCGAGTAGTTATCATGTCCCCAGGTGCAGCTAGCACATAGCTCTTGTAGTGGTGACCATTTGGCGGTGATTCAAACTCTATACCATCTGCCTCGTTGATAAAGATCGATGCTACTCCGTCGACTTTCTCGCCGGTGAGGCTGGCCGTTTGAAACTTCATGGCTGCGATGTATTAAAAAAGATACGGCTGTGACTGGGAGACTGTTGCGATTTCAGAGGGAGCGTAGGAAGGTTCGAGTAAGTCGCGGCAGTCTTATTGATAGATGATAAGGAGTGATTGAGATGGGAATGATTCCATCATTCGAATGATGTGAAGTTTGTGGGAAGAATGGGGCACAATGGCTATTTTTGAAGCTGCACTAAAGGCCAAAGGTGAGCTTCTTGTAATCCGAAGGTGATTCGGCAACGCTATCGAGACGGGCAAGAACAATGAGGTCTTGCCTGTTTCACCAGGTGATGAAAGTAGAAATCTCGAGTTACCGCAGGTGAATATTAGCTGTTTGGGCAGGCAGTGATATTGCATGCAAATGCCTTTCGAGAAGATAGAGAACAAGGGACCAGAGCTAAGTGATGGAGACGAGAAGTGAAGACTAAATTAATTCTCCCCAATAAGGTAACTGATTGAGCGAGCTTGAATTCGGTAAGAGCGATTGCGATTCTTTGATGAGGGTAATCAGTTATCATGATCAAGGAGCATGTTGACCAAGGTTCCGGTGCGCTTTGGAATGGCTACTGAAGACAGTATCCGCAGAACTATATCTCCATCCCGTTGGACTATGCCCAGGGATCGTGAACATCCTATGGTCAGAGTAGTGCCAGGAGCGAGATAGCCCGGCACCCAGACGGCCTGCAATTGCAACGGTAGCCGGGATTTGTCTTTATATATTTCGCCTTTTTCTTTGCATCACAGTACTAGACGAAATGTCTGACTTTGTACAAGCCACCTCCTCTTGCCCTTGTGGGGTTTCCCATATGCCTCCCAATTTGGCACCAACACCAAACTATCCATGAAACCCTGGATGTCCGCGCCATCCCCATATCTGACGCTCCCACTCACAGTAACCATAATGCTCATCTTCCTGCCATGTTTGTTCATCTCTAGGACATTATCTGGAACACCGACATTGTAATTGCGATTCAGAACGTGGCAGTCGAACGACTGGACTTCATAATGCGTTTTCGGTGGCTGTTTCTCGAAGACTGCTTCAAGATCTGAGGGAGAGGAGATGAGATTCCCGTTGAGGCTGATGTCCGGTTTTAGAGGAGATTCTGGATTCGGTTTGACGTAGAAATCGGGAATTTCTTTAATGGCGTGAGGTTTGCTTATGGTTACATAGTATGTGTTAACAAACGTCTCCGCAGCTATTATCCTGTTAGCGTGAGTTCTCATCATTTTTTTCAAGCTTCTTACTTTCTATGGCCACTTTAACTTCTTGATCTTCTGATATGTCTGCCATGCTGGTGGGGGTGGTAAATTTACGGCAAGAACAAAAAAGCGAGATTCATTGGGAAAATTTGATTCTGTAAGATGATTCAGAAGAAACAAAAAGCTAAAGCAACCAATCGTTCTGCCATAAATATAATAATGCTCGAATTATGTTCTTTTGAGAATCAAGCTGTGTTGCGACGTCGAATTCGATCATCCTGGGTGACGCGACGCGGGACCATTCCGCACCTGGAATTTCGGGACGTTTCCCAGCGCGTTGCTGGCACAAGAACCAGCAATGAGTTCACGAATATTATCCTCGACTCTGCGAGGCACTCGACAGAATCGATTGAACAGCAGACCAGTTTGGAAAGGCCAATGGGTATGCCAATTATGTCGGAGTCACGGAGCTGCCAGGAGGGCGTTTTCCCTAAGCTCAAGCTTTTCGAAGCAAAAACCATATTACATTACGACTCCCATCTTCTACGTTAATGCAGGTATGAATACATGTGGACTGGGACTTTAACTGGCTAAATAAATTGCAGCTCCTCATGTCGGACATCTCTATACTATGGTCCTTACGGATATCCTCAAACGATGGCAGGTCTTGAAAGGAAGAGAAGCCATTCTTTGTACCGGAACGGATGAGCATGGAATGAAAATTCAACAAGCAGCAGCGTCTTTCAACATGCCTCCAAAGGAGTTTTGCGACCGAGTTGCGGATACTTTTAAAAAACTCGCCCAAGAATTCAATCTGTCGAACGATCATTTTATTCGCACTACCGACGAGGAACATCGAAACACGGTGCAGCTTGTCTGGCGCGTACTGGATTCCAATGGATACATATACCAATCGAAGCACGAGGGATGGTATTGTGTTAGCGACGAGACGTATTATCCAGACTCGGCGATTGAGAAACGCTTAGATCCATATACGGGGAAGACTTTCATGGCATCGAAAGAGACTGGAAAGGAGGTGGAATGGACCTCTGAGACCAATTACCACTTTCGCCTCTCTGCTTTCAAGGATAAGCTTCTTCAGTACTATAGGGATAATCCAGAGTTTGTCGTCCCTTCAACCCGGATGAAGGATGTGGTCAAATGGGTTGAGGATGGCTTAGAAGACCTATCGATATCAAGACCAGTAGAAAGGCTGAGCTGGGGAATTAGGGTTCCAGACGATGACAGTCAGACCATATATGTTTGGCTCGATGCTTTGATCAACTACATCACCAAAGCCGGGTATCCCTGGACATCAGGAACTGAGACCTTAGAGGGCTGGCCAGCAGATGTACAAGTGATTGGAAAAGACATTGTCCGCTTTCATTGCATATACTGGCCTGCCTTTCTCATGGCACTGGACGTTGCACCACCAAAACAAATATTAGCCCACGCTCATTGGACATTAGGAAGTCGAAAGATGGCTAAATCCACTGGGAATGTTGTCAACCCGATTCTTGCCATGCAGCGGTTCGGCGTGGATGTGATGCGGTATTATCTTGCTCATGATGGTGGAATCGTCAATGACTCTGATTACGGAAATGATCTGATTGTCGAAAGGTATAAAAAGGGACTACAGGGCGGACTTGGAAACCTTGCTAGTCGAATAATGAGACCCAAAATCTGGAGTGTACCAAGTGTACTAGCAGAAGCTAGGGATGGCAACGTGTACAATATTGGAAAGACCAGTAAAGCTCAAGTCGATATGTTAAACACCCTGCGCGATAGGGTTAATGTCAAATTTGACCAGCTTGACCCTGGCGGAGCTTTACAAGTCATTATGGACGCTGTTTATGAGGTACGCTTGATCAAACCAGTTGTTATACGCCACTAATCCATAACAGACAAACAAGTATCTGCAATCAAACTCGCCCTGGAAGCTTGCTAAAGAACTCGCGGAACCAGAGGGTTCACCGCTTGGCACAACAGAAGACGATAAACCCCTCCGTGATTCCACCCAAGCGCGGATTAATCGGACAATCTATCATTGTGCTGAGACGCTTCGAATCGTTGGAATTTTACTCCAACCATACATGCCAGATAAGGCTAGGGAACTTCTTGACACGCTGGGTGTTGCTCCAGATCGCCGAGCATATGATGATGCGTGCCTTGGATTAGATTTCACGTACGGCGTGCCTCTGACCTTACCAGGAAAGGGAAGCTGGGGGGCTCTGTTTCCACCACTCCCCGTCGAAGATTAGCTTGAACGTTAAGTGTAAGAATATTGTGTTGTACATATTGTCAAGTTTATTATACCCAGAATCAATTCATCAACTTATGACAGAAGGTGGATTGACTTCGCGAATGTGTTAGGGCTGCAGACGTGCAATAGAGTGGGCGTCGCTGGCGATGCGTTGCCAGCCGACGAACCTAGCGTTGAGAATAAAGTTGCCAAATTAGTTCTGCGAGACTTGCAAGATTGATGGCAATCGTGGCAGAATTGACGGACCTAAGCTTGGTAAGCTGCACGTTTTCCCAGAGTCGCAATTATCAAGAGGGATTTTATTTTAAAGCAGTTGAAGAGGAAGCTGCGATCTTAAGACCTTCGCCGTGTCGAGAGGTCTGAGTCTGACAGGAGCTTGTGGCTTCTTGGACGAGAATCTCTCTCTAAGCCCGTTCGTTCTACTACTACTTATTCTCCTCATCTATTTATATAACCGTCTTTCTTTGTAGATTCATTCAAAAGGACGGTTGACTCTTTTGACTCTGGCGCTGCTGTTTCCTGGGCCTTTCTACCGATTCCTAGTCTCGAACCCATAGGGACCAGACAAGGGCCGTCTTCTCATACCTGTCAACAACCGTCGGGCACACGAAATTGTCAAGCAGTCGTTACTTTCCATTTATGATCTTATAACATCCAGATACATATGAAGGGACAAGGCAGTTGCTATTTGATCTGGCACGAACACTTCAGTCAGTTGAAGATCACCTCGTTCGCAACTCTTTCGCACACTCGTTTCACAACGCCACTACTTTGGACACATCCAGCTGCAATTATTTGGTAGCTTGGATCACATTTCCTACCCTTCGTCAGAAGAAGCCGGCCCAGAGACATATGCGAAGCCGTGGGCCACCTTCCTAGACTCAGTCTTGACGTTCACCTTCATTTTCGCTCCTCTTCTCTTCCAGCCTTTTTCTTTACTACTACCATCTAAGACAGCAAAATACCGATATGACGATGAACGTGATGATTTCCGAGAGCGGAGTCCAAGTCGAAAGGGGCAAGGACGTCGGTTATCTTTGCAAATTCTGTAGCTGGACGGGCCGCAGTGAAAGTACTCGACTGATGGACATGGTCGAGCTGGCAAGACATGGCCAAAGAGAACATCGTTTTCTCGGTGCTCAGTTGCAGGAGTTGTGTAGGATATGGCCCTTTGCAATAACTTTCTCCAACGCTTGACTGACTGCATATAAAGTAGAGTCATCGCCTATGATATCGCGAAAGCTTCCTGAAGCTGGACATACAAACAGTCAAGTAGCTGAAATCATTTATGGCCACACCACTCGTCAGCCAGATCATTGTCAAGCTCCAATCGATATTCAAACCGCCACAGCGAAGTTAGCTTCTGAAAACACAACGAGCTCTGGGTCGCCCTTTGTGAATATGGCTCCAGTGCCGTCCACGAATTTCCAACTTTTGTCTAAAATGGTGTCAACTTCGGCCAAGATCATGATAAAGGATAGAGCATCCACTGTGATCGCCAATTCACCGAGTTTACCAATGGAGCCGACTGCAAGCATCTACCAGTCTTTGAGCGCTGGATCATTCACTCGAACCGCACCGACGGAGCTTGGATTCTCGACTATCAACAAGCGGCCATACTTGCGCTTCGCAGTTGAGAGCCTTCTGCCACAAACACCTTCTGAGGAGGACTTGGAATCCACCCAGAAAGTGACTGCCGACACAAACTCAGCAGTTGTCAGCAAACAAACTAAGTATGCGGTCCTTGTTCCGATGATGAATCTTAACTAAATATTTACTCAGCGTACGACCTCAGTTCCGTACCGTACCACACGATTTCGATTACGCAGACATGAACGACCAGCAACCAAGTCAGGCTTCGGGCTGCGAGTCGCATCTCAACCCAGTGTCTGAGAGAACATCGAGCTCCGCGCCCTGTCCAACCGCAAAAGAACCCAGCCTCAAGACTAGCCGAACTGCCGAAAATACCCAACCACATTCCACTGCAGACGCAGAGAGTCGCAAGCGTAAACGTTCGGAGGACTCCCTTGACCAGCCGCCTAGCCAACGACAGGTTGGTCGTCCAGTGAGTAGAGTGAGTGCTACGCCCGAAGCCCCGCCCAGAGTTATCAAGGACATCAATCCGGCTCCGACTGATTTAGAATACCGAGAATGGTTTGAAAGACACTTTCCAAACTCAACCCTACCTACACTTGATTACGATGGATTGAAGTCGCAATTCAGAAGTTCAAGGAGCAAGGATACTTTCATGCTTCGTATTTTCTGCCGTTACCTGGAAAGTCATCAGAAACGACTGTACCAAGTACATGCGTTCATTCGTGCAAAGCAAGATCCAGACTGGATTAAGCATGCACCACCTAACCAGCTCACTACTATCATCAAAATTCATCAGACTGAATGTGTATCACTGGCCTTTCAGCGAATCGTCCAAGAGTATGCAGTGGAGGTCCACGCCCAAGAACGTAAGGAGGAGGAAGCAACATCGAAGAAAAACATGCAGCAGAGTTCAAGTCAGACAACGGGACTCTTAAATCAGCATGACAGGCAAGGGTATCTTTTAAAAGAGGCTCTAAAAAACGCAGATTCACCACCATTGTGGTTTAACGACCCATTTCCTCAAGCTTCAGGCGTCCAGGCTAAGGCTGTGGAACAACTCAACCAGAATGACAACCCACCCAAAAAATGGCAAGAGGCCAGAGACGCGCTGATAGCTGAGATGGAGAAAGAAGCAGGCCCTGTCAAAAAGAGCTCATCATCCTCTTTCGAGTCCTCTTTTGGCCTGGTTTGAGAACCACCGGCCTATCTGATCTCTACCATCTTTTCAGCAGAAGAAATGTCGCACGGCTTGACTGGGATTTCTATTCTATACATAGGTTGTTATGGCGTTTTGGTAAAAAGAGGTTTCTGGTGAGAAAAATGTTAGGCGATGGTAAACACCATTAGATGTCAGTACTGGGTGGTGCACACGTTCAGCGTTATTGAGAGAGAATATTCAATGACAGATGCTCCGGAGTTTTGGGGGGTTACATTTGATTGGTGGTCTGGACGGAGCCAGGAAATGTAATCTCACATGCAGTACGTCGATGAAGATAGGAAGTAGATGTAGTAGATCGATCAATAGTCAGAGAGTCCTTGCAAGACATTCGCCAATAGTCTAGGATCTAAAATCTAGAATCTAGAAACCGCGAAACCCTCGAGACTATCAGAGTATCAGTCTTAAGCGTTCTTGCACCTCTGTAATCCTGATATCAGCAATTCAGAGTACAGATACAATCATCGACGATGTTACACCCACCGTTACCATTGATTTCTAGCCAGTTGGCTTCTCCTTGATCAGTTTAATAATGCTGTTTGGGCAGGCTTTAGAGCTAAAATAACACTAAACATCATATCACGAGTTAATATGATAAGACCTAAATGAACTTCCGACATGAGTAACCAAATCTAGGGAGCAAACATATTGATGTCGTTGTCATTCTCGCTAACTCGCCGGCCAGGATCAGTCCCCCGGCCGCAGCCCTGAAAGCTAGGGGTTACCGTACTAAGTAAGCGCGGTTGAAGACACATATTGAGCGAGGGGCATTTCTGACTTCTGTTTCATCGAACAAACAACGACTTTTTCATTTCCGGGACTTCTTCTTTCTATCTTCTTGTTGGCCAGAAAGATGGATTTCCTTCAGGTAAACTATCACTTGCTGAATACAGATTTGTATGAAGAAATTTAAGCTAATACTTCCCAGCGCCTTGCCCGATTTCTCGATCGACCCTTGTTCCCTTGGAAGAAGCTCATCGTCGGCTTCTCCCTCGCACAATACGCCTTTGAAGGCTTCCTTTCTCTACGACAATACCAGGTGTTGAAGCAGACCAAACCTCCGAAGGTTCTGAAAAACGAGGTCTCTCAAGAAGTGTTTGACAAAAGTCAGGTATGGGAATCCCAGAACTACATCCTGAGGCTCAAAGCTGACGTGTTTGTAGGCATATGGCAGGGCGAAAGCAAAGTATGGTTTCGTTAGCGGTCTCTACGGTCAAATCCAAAACACGGCATTCATCTACTTCGACATTCTTCCTAAACTCTGGGCGTTAACTGGATCATGGCTTGTCTCATACGCACCACCGCGGTTCAGTGGGGAGATCTCGCATTCTATCGTCTTCGTACTATCGTTCATCGTCATCCAACAAATAATCTCGCTGCCTACCTCTATCTACCATACATTCGTCCTCGAAGAGAAGTTTGGCTTCAATAAGCAAACACCTAAGCTTTTCGTCATGGATATGTTGAAGGGACAGATGTTGGCTTTCGTCTTGACTCCTCCTATCCTTGCTGGATTCCTCGCGATTGTGCAAAAGGCGGGAGATAACTTCTTTTACTATCTATGGTTGTTTGGAGCTGGATTACAGGTTTTCATGATTACTGTTTACCCGATTACGATCTTGCCTTTGTTCAACAAGCTTTCGCCGTTACAACCCGGAGATCTGAAGACTGGAGTAGAGGGTTTGGCAAATAGACTTAAGTTTCCACTACACGAGCTTTATGTCATTGATGGTAGCAAGAGATCGGCGCATAGCAATGCGTATTTCTTCGGTCTGCCATGGAAGAAGCACATTGTCATTTACGATACATTGATTGAGAAAAGCGAGACGGAGGAAGTTGTTGCTGTTCTTGCTCACGAACTTGGCCATTGGAGTTTGGGTCATACTACAAAGCTGTTTGGGATTTCTCAGGTAAGACTCTTGCTTGTGTTGCACGACCGCAGAAGCTAATCTTCACTTAGGCGCATTTCTTCTACATCTTCTCCCTTTTCTCCGTCTTCATCAACAACAGATCCCTCTACCAATCATTCGGCTTCCACAACGAGTTTCCAATTATAATCGGGTTTATCCTCTTCTCGGATGCTCTCGCTCCAATGGACACGGTTATCAAGCTCTTGATGAACATCCTCAGCCGAAAATACGAGTTCGAAGCCGATGAGTTTGCGCAGAATCTTGGATACTCCACTGAACTCGCACGCTCTTTGATCAAGCTTCAAATCCAAAATTTGAGTACCATGGATGCCGACTGGATGTATGCGAGCTACCATTTCTCTCACCCGATTCTTTCCGAGAGATTGGGCGCTCTTGGATGGATCGACGAGAAGGATGGTGTTGCTGTGTCGAAAGACGAAAAGGTGGTCAAGGCCAGCGGGCGCGACGAATTGTAGACCGTAGAGTTCTGCAATAACAGACTCCTGATACCCTCTGATTTCGTTTCGTATGCCAATGTTGTGACTTGAATTCAATCGCTCTCCTCCATAGCAGCCGTCTCAGCCGCTTTTTTCGCAGCCTCGGCCTTCGCCCTCCTCTCCTGTTTAGCCCTCTCTTTCTTCTCTGCCTTCCTCGCCTCTTTATCTTTTGGTTTCTTCACACTCGCTCCGTTCTCCTCCCCTCCCTCATGTTTCCTCTTCGCCTTCTTAGGCACCACAGCTTCAATCTCAACCTCATTCCCCTCCTCACCCCCAACCATCTCATCCCCGTCCTGCGCCACAACATTCACCCTCTCCCCCACCTCCCCCTCAAGATCCTGCTGCTCCAACTGATAATCCTCAAGGTTCTGCCACTCCCCCTCCTCACCCGCCTTCTTCTCCCCTTCCGCTTCTAGTTTCGCCGTCTCCTCTAGTTCTAAGACCGGGGCCAGCCATTCCCCTTTTAAGCCCGCTTCTACGCGCTGCAGATTTGATAGTGTGAGCGAGGAGTTTGTGGCGCCGGCTGTGGGACCTGATGGCTCGAGTTTGGCGTTGGGGAGGAGGTAGGCGTTGGTGCTGGTTTGGGAGAGGTATTTGGAGAGGTATGTCAGGGCGACTGAGGGGGGGATGGGAATGGAGGGAATGAGACGGGTTGGGGGGTTGCTTGTCATTGTAGTGGTATTGCGTATCTCTGATTTGAATTTGTAATTAGGAGAATTGAGGATGTGAGAAAATGTAAACTGGTTTGCGATCGAGGTGGGATGCAATCGAAGCTCTGCCCAAAATTATTTTTCGAACTTGGTCCGTGCGTTTGCATGTTCGATGTCAAGGGTTGATCGCGACCTCATGTCTTGAGACCAGAACATCAAAACTGAGATTTCTCGCCCACGAAGGAAGATGTTGTGTTTACGCTGCTCCAGAGGGCTCAGTGCCTTCCCTGGCTTCTCAAATTCAGTCAAAAACATCTCCAATGCGCCCTTAAAAAGGTAGTAATCTCCCCAAATCCCTCCAACGGCAAACCTAACCATATCCATAGGACCTTCACATCCCTCACACCTCTCCGCCCAACTATCCTGTTACCATCTAGGCCCTCACTGTCGAATTTAGCGCTCTCTTCCACACCAGAAACTGCTGGCGACATTGCCATACTGCCGTTCAAACCCTCAACACATCCAGCGCTAGCATCACTACAGATCCGCTGCGCGCCCCGGAATACGTTTAACCCGTCGCATTTTGTGAGGAAGCGACGCCATGGGTTTTTGAGCCGCATTAAGACGAGGACGGGGAAGATGATTATTAAGAGGAGGAGAGCGAAGGGGAGGAAGAATTTGAGTCATTAGGGGAGGGATTGGGGGAGGAGTGTATTGGTTCTGGAGCAGAGCTGGGGTAGATTTGAGGAGGGTATTTTGAAGGGCAGGACATGTCGGAGAGATGGTGTAAATTTACAGACATTGAGAAGGGCTGTGTTGAGCGGGTTTCGATGTATGACTAAGAGAGTAGAGGAGCGCAGGGGATACAAAATATACATGTCTAAATCAGCCTACGGGGCAATATTCTCCTTCTCCTACATTGGTGGTTTCTGCTTAGAAACGGATGCAGATCTCAACCAAGGTCGATTCCCAGTGGCTGGTGATGGGTTGTCATGCTTGCAATTGAGTGTTTTCTGCTTTGTACTTGGGCGGACGAGCTTCTTGTAAGTGAGAATTTATCGTGGCAAAAGCAATCACTCTAGAAGCTCTTCTTCGCAAGTTTCAATGGTGTTCTCCCTTCAGCTGCAAGTCTCCTGTGAAAACTATCGTGTCAAATCTTGGACAAGATACTCGAGGAAGGAGCAACCATCATGAACCATGTATTTTCCTTCTGCAGTGTCTCAATTCCCGTTCTTTTCATTCCTTCTACTCTACATTAGCATTGGAAATCCGGAATTATCAACAGAAGGCTATTCTACTGTATCTTCTATATCGGTAAACCATTTTGGATTTTAGACTCGAAGCATTACTTCAATCCCTTCATTATTAAACATCCCTCAACGATGTATTCCTTCAAATCGATCGCTCATTTGGCAGCTACGGCATTGGGATTACTGGCAATTGTCCATGGAGCCGAAGTCCAATCAACCGTTACAACTATCGATCCTGAGATCTGCCATTCGACCATGAAGAACCATCGATGGGTTGTTACCGACGTGGTAATGGATCGAGAGAAAGACAACATCGGGTCAATTGAATGGTCACCTCCCTCTTGAAACTTGCTGACGATTTGCCAGAGTCTTATTCAATATGTATGACACTGCACCAAATCCACAGGGATTCGCGAACAGCTGCTATGTCAAACCCTTTGCGATAGACAACGACATCGACGAAGATGCAGATCCATGGAAGGACTGCTTGATTGCCGCTCCGCCTCGCCCCAATGAATCGTTTCAATATAGTATCGATCGAAGACAATGGTTTGAAGACGATGCCGGATGGATCGAAGGAGTTATTTATTTCAAACATGCTTGGGGAGCATGCTAGTAAGTACTATCTATTTTATTAAGTATGGCTCGCTGATATTTAAAGCTGGGACGAAGGACGGGGGATAGAGGAGACAGAGTGTGCAGATCAAGGTGCTCAGATATTTAACATTACAATCGACCTCAGAGATGGAGAAGAACGCCATGTGGTCGGGTACCCGCCTATGATCCTTCATCGCGCTCAGACACAAGCTATATGCATATCGGATTGCGTGGATGCAGGCTTGGTTGCAAATGAAACATGCTTAACTACACCTGTTGGCGGTGGTGGCGACGACGATGAGAATGAGCAAGAAGAGGAGGAAGATGAGGATAAATTAAATTCGAAGATCTGCACCTTTCAGAACTAGGGATCCGATATTTTATTCGTAAGATCAGTTCTGAACCCGTCTAGATGAGAGCAGCCTTTTAGATACCTTTTGCTGGGGCTGACTCCATCTGCAAATTTGCCGAAGTCCTCTAGATGTGTAGGTGGGGCAGGAATTCTTACGGTTAGAGGGGAAAGATCTGTATTTCCGTGCTCTCGTCTCTCTTGTATCAATTCTGTGTAATGCAAGAACGGCTTACTTTAGCACTCCAAAATCAAAAAAGCTTATCCATTGATCGGTCGAGGTGTCAATTATAGCTTACTCTTCTCACTCAAGAAGGTATGGCCCTGTTTTAACATATCTACAGCTTCGCTAACCATCTCATCCACAATCTCCTTCGCAGGTTGAATCTTCTGAATCACGCCAGCTACCACTCCCATCAGATGAGGAATATCAACGTCAATCCCCTGATCCATGTCATACTCAATAGGCACCACCCCCTTCTCGGTCAACTCCTTTATCTTCTCAGGCTGCGCTTCCCACTTATCAACCCACTCATTTCTCCTCAGTCTCAGTGGTCGCCCACTTACAACCAACGTCCTAACCGTATCCTCAAAAGTAGCACTCACAACGCTCTCCTTATGCTGCTGCGAGCACCCAGCCTCTGTACACGCCACAAACCTCGTCCCGACCCAAACCCCCGCCGCGCCCTGCATCAATGAACTCGCCAAACTCCGCCCATTATAAATCCCCCCCGCCGCAACCACCAACGCCGTCCCTCCCTTCAACATCGCCGGTCGATACCCCCTCGCCACATCAACCACACTCGGAATGAGAATCGAATTCGGGATATCCCCCGTATGTCCTCCCCCCTCCCCGCCCTGCGCACACACGATATCCACACCCGCATCCAGCGCCTTCTTCGCGTGTTTCGGATGTCCAACCATATTCATAACCAGAATCCCCGCGTCATGTAACCGCTTCACGACATGTGGCGGCGGGATCCCCACCGCGCTGATGAACAGCCGCGCGCCTTCTTCGATGGTGACGGTTATTAGCTCGTCGAGCTGCCCGTGCGTGTAATCGTGGTTGGTCTTGCGGGCGCCGTCGCCGACTTTTGGGAGCGCGAGGTCGACGCCGAAGGGGAGGTCGGGGGACGAGAGGGAGGATTTGAGGGAGTGGATTATTTCGCGGAGTTGGACGGGCGTGTAGCCCAGTCCGCCGATGCAGCCTAGGCCGCCGGCGTTGGATACCGCTGCTGCGAGGGGACCGCCGGACGTTCGTGCCATTCCGGCGAGGAGGATGGGGTGTTTGATTCCGAGGAGGGTGGTGAGGGGGGTGGTTAGGGGGCCTTGGGGGGGCATGGTTGTGGTTGTGGTTGAGGGAGTTGTATGGGTAGATGTATGTTTTGTAGCTTGTACTAGCAATTGGTGAGGGATTAAGGCGGGAGGAGGTGAGGTTTAGAGTGAGGATTTAAATGCATATTGAAGAAGGTTATACCTGCGTGTACGTACACTTCTTGTATCGTCGTCTGTGGTTGAGCTTGAGCTTGACTCGCTTGCGGGAATGGAGTGTGGGGTAATTAGTGCCTCGGTTGAGGTGCCCCCTCCCCTTTTGACTGCTGGGTCCCCTATTCGGCACGTGAAGTTCCTTCAGTGACGGTATACTCTATTATAATTGCTTGTTGAATATGTTTCTAGTTAAATTTCAACGGTTTTGTAAGCCAGCCAATCTATAAATCGACGGTAAGATGAGAGAAGTTCCTATTTCTTGTTCAAGTGCTTAAATGAGCAAAGCACTTACTCAAAATCCCACCCAGAAAAGACGCCACTGCTGAAGGAATTTGAACTTACAATGAAACAAATTCAAGCACTACCACATTCATTCTAAAATCTTTGACGTAATATGAATTATCATAAAGTGTATAAATCCAATAAACACCCATGAGCTAAGACAATACCTCTAAGTCGATTAATCTAACACCCCGAAACACGATTCCCAGCAGCGAGCACTTCGCATACTTGATACAACGCCGTTTCGTTTTCCTATGCCTCCCATGTCCCGGTTACAAATACCACACGCATCTATACACACGAATCAACACTCAAAAGGCGTTGGTCGCTCCTCCCAATGTCCATTCCTGTTCCTAAACCCCATTCTAGCTGAAGTGCGGTAATCGAGCTGGCACGAAATCTTTACTCTCATACTCTTTAATAGGATCTTCTGGGATTTCCTGTCCTGATGAAGATGGTCTGTCATCATCTCCAACTGTGTTCTCGACCTCGATCTCGACATCCACTGGAGGTGTTTCCACTATTGGCGGCTTACTTTCAGACATCCCGTCAGTGGTATCTCCCACCTGTAAGCCTCGTTCTATCGCTAGACTTGCAGCCACTTGGCGTTTTCTTTCTACTTCTCCATCTTCTAATAATCGTATCCTTTCCTCTTCTTGTTCCAAATCGGCTAATGATGGAACGTTTATGAGTCCAGGTGATTGGATGTCTGGGCTATCTGATGCTTCTGAATTCGATCGCATACCTGATAGCGTAGGAATAGATTGCGATGAATGAGCCGCCCGTGATAGCGTCCTCGATAATGACCTCAATCCGGCAGGGCGTTTGCCCTTGCTACTCCTCGTCTTTCCACTACTTTTATCGTCCGCATTGGAGACTGTGCCTCTCCTCTCCAAGACCATTGCGAATTCGTCGGGTAACGGAATCGCATCATCTTCACCATCACTAGGGAACAGATCTCCTCTTGACCTGAAAGAGTCTGATGTTGCGCCTGAACTTGTGGTGGAGCTCCGCTGTCTTCTGTGTCCTTTTCCACCCTCGTCCTCGTCACTGTCATCTTCAGGTATTAATGGCTGGCCCTCTTCGCCCATATAGTCGTTTCTTGACGCTCCAGGGTGATCCTGTAGATCTGCTGCACTAGGCTTATACCGTAAAGTTCCTCCAAGCTTGAATGGAAGCCTTCCTAAGAATCCCAATGTGTTCGTACTCGGAATGATAGTCGGATCCGGATCCAGACTTCTCCTTCTCGCTCTATTCGTTCCATAACTCATTCCTCTCTTCCTTTTTGGCTGGTTCCCTTCGTTGACGCCAGAATTACTACCACTCCCCGCAAGCAAACGGTCCAGTTCGTCATTACCCCAGCCTCCAAGCAATCCTCCCCCACCAATTCCTTCATCCTCATCCCAATCGTCATAAAAATCAAACGACAACTCTGCGCGCCCTCTCGTGCGACCTCGTTCTCGAGCGCGACGAGCACGTTCGTCGCGATCGGGAAAACATGCGCCCGTACATTGTTCGAAGCATGCGGTGACAGAGGAGAAGCATGGGTTTATGTATCGATGCTGGAATGTCCATATACCTGCGGCTGCAGTCTCAGTCGCAGACTCGGCGTTCGAAGAGAATTGATTCCACGTCTGCCGAATTCGTGGATCTTCGAGTAGACCGGGAGGTGCCATTGTCTTCGGACGGTTGAGGCGGAAGATGGGAGTAAGCTGAGATGTAGAAAGCAAATAGCCTTACGTCAAGTGCTATGATATCCGTAGGCTACTTCAATGCGACACTCATCATACAAGAATTTTGCAATGTCCTTTGCGACACTATCGGCATGACGTTCCTGGTAGGAGGGGTTGATCGACCAAAGTTGTCTCCAGATCTTGGAGTGTTTTGCTTTGGGTCTGGGGTTGCCCGAATCTACGCTAATGTATTCGGTGCCCGAGTTTCACCCGGTGTATGCATCATTACGATGATAAGGCTGAGAGGCTGAATTTGGAGAATAACCTGGAAGACGAGGACTACAAAACTGCGGCGCCCACCAGTTTCAGCTAAAGGATGTTATAGCCAAGAGGGAAGAAACTGCGAAGTTTAATGCTAGCTCATCACTGTCAGCAACAATTATTCAAATTGCTGAATTAGTGACTGTAAATTCCAACAGCGTTGTGTAATAGTAGCAGTTTCGCAGAAAGATTACAGGCTTTGAGTGTACAAAGAAGGGTGTATATAATTTAAGGTTGGATATACCATGATAATGGTGTACGAATGGTCAGTCCCAGAATTATACAACACGCAAAGCATCAAAGCTCCATTGACGCAACTGATTCAAGCGGTTCGTGCCTCGCATACAGTGGCACACCAACATAAGTACGTTTAATGCTTGATGCCGTTTGCGGTAGCAGCCAGTAGGCCGTTGGCCAAGAGAGGAGCAGGTGGCGGGACAGGGCCAAATGGCTTCGGAGCGCCATGTTGGAGGTGGGGTTCCTCCTCGGTATCTTCATCGTACTCTCCCTCTTCGCTTCCCTCCTCGTCACCATCTTCTGCTTCTTCGTCTTCATACTCATACTCACTTTCCGTGCCCTCCATATCGCCTTCAGCATACTCCCCTTCCACACTTCCTTCCGGCATTCCCATCAAACCACCGGCAACGCCTCTGCCTTGTTTCTGCATTTGATTTATGATACTCGTAAGCTTGTCGTTCTTCTTTCTCAAAGCCTCGAGCTCCTCGTTGCTCTTAGTCCGCTCCTGCGCCATCTTGAGAATGTTCTGATTGGTAAGGTCGTGCTTCCGGGTTAAATTCATATTCTCCTTTTCCAATCGCTTTGTTTTCTTGGACATGTCCTCCATCTCTTTCCGAAAGGTTAAAAATAAATCGTTGCTGTTGTTGAGGGTATCTTCCACCTTCATGATATTAGTTCTGAACAGATCATGCACTCGGGAGGTCTATGTGGCACACCCAATTAACAAATGAGCCTGAGCTTACCTGTTTGAACTTCTCGACGTAAATGTTGAGTTGATTTCGCAACTCATTTTCAGTTTTTGAGAAAGTCAGAACTTGGGTATTCAAAGCCTTCGACCGAGTGACTTCTGCTTCCGCAGCCTTGCGCTCGCGGTCGAATCTAGCCATATTATACTGAACTTCTAATTCTTTCGCTCGCATTAGAGAGTGGAAATGGAGTTCTCGAAGCTCATATTGTTCAATCAAGGACTTGAAGCGTTGCTTGAATCTGGTAGCTGTTAGACAAGTTCGTCAACATATTGGCAAGTACGAACAGATCTTCCACCTCAATATTAACAATCTGGGCTTGTGGGTGATCTTTTGCGTCTTGATAATCCTGAAGTTGCCATAACAGACTCCTAAATTTCTCATCCCAGGAATCGTGGCTGCTTTTCTCGGAATCTTGATATCCTCTGTTCTCAGCCTGTCCAAGCGTCAGTAGGCGCTATTCGACAGTGTAACGATATAAAGCGGACCTTGAGTTTGTTGTTCTCTTTCTGTAGTTCTCGGCAAAGTGTTTCCAACTTTCCTCTCATGCTGGTTTGCTTGCTGAGTTCGCTTGTCCTTTGATCCTTTTCTTTCTGCAAGTCGTCCGCCCGTTTCTGATTCTTCCGGCTCTTGCGCTCCCAGCGCCTCACATCTGTGAGGTGTTCCGTCACGCGCTTTTGTAAGAAGTCAATCTTATGCAGGTCGTCCATCTTGGAGGTAAGATTGCTGAGCTCGCGGTTGGCCCTTTTGACCTCCCGTTCTACACAAAAATCAGCATAGTCCTACGAAATTGGTGAAAGCAAGACGTAGGAAGCGGTAGTTGCTGTCGAGATCTCAACCAGCTCTAGGTCCATTAGGCGACTTTGCAAAGCCAGACATCGGCATCAAACGACCGCAACACGGCTTTCGGCGTCTCCAGTCTACCAAAAGTCGAAAGCGCATATGCCAACATCGAATTATACCACCAGCACGACACTTGCCACACTTCAAAGAGAAAACTCTCGCGTGAAATATCAAACAGGCAAACCAACCAATTTCAGCCTCCTGCTCCTTATCTTCGGCAGCCCCCAGCTCCAACTGCGATATTTTGGCAGCGATCAACTTGGAAGCTTCGTTTGGATCCGCCGCTTTCTTTTGTTTGCCTTTCTTGGCTGCGTTCGACGCAGACTGCGGGTGGCCATCGTGAGGGTGGTGGTGGTGCGCATGACCGTTCGTATAAGGGGAATCGCCATGCGACGGGGGCGCTGGAATTGAAGAGGGTCTCGAATTCGTCGGTACAGTGGTTGGCGTGGGATTGACGGCGGTCGACATGGTGCATTTGATGTGGTTGTTTCGACGGGTCGTCGACAGCGTACGTAGCTGTTGGTGAGGAGAGGTGTCGGTGGGGAATAGCGAAGAAGAAAATCTCGTCCAGACGGCTATATATATATATCGCGCACTATCCCATACAACGTGCGGCAGTATTCTGCTTTCAACGTACGTTTCCTCCTATGTATGGACCCGGATGTGTCGCTGAAATGAAGACTTGCAAGAGTCGAAGCTCTTTGCCGCTAGTCTCGATCGGAATTTGACCCAAGTTTCAAATGAGGAGAGATTCGGTGCCGGCGACCTCAAGTGCGTTCGGATGACGAAGACAGCCAACCGCACTCATTCAGCCAGTTCACAACACCAACGTTTAATTATATACTTTGAGGATATACTTGTTGAATTGTAAACAATGGCTCGTATGTGCAATAATGCTCCCTGTACAGGCACAGGCACTTGCCAGCAGGATGATGCACGCTTATATAATTCTTGCCAGTGTCAATTCTCGGTGATTGGCCACAAAATTTGTGCTTGACGAGGCTACAGCATCACGGCCGCATCATTACCTGACTTGCTCATAAGTCTTTCCTCGTCCACCACTTGCATTCATCCATTTTGTTTCTTGTGCACCTCCATCTGCAAGTTTCATTATGTTACGGAATGCTACCAAAGGAGTGGTCCGAAAGGGTGTCACGGAACTTGCTCAATATCCCAAGCCAGGCGACAAACTGCATGGCTTCACTCTCCTACGATCGAAGCATGTACCGGAGCTGGAGCTGACAGCCTTGCACCTACAACACGACAAGACCGGCGCAGACTACCTACATGTTGCGCGAGAAGACAAGAACAATGTATTCTCAATCGGTTTCAAGACGAACCCTCCAGACGACACTGGTGTGCCGCATATCCTCGAGCACACGACATTATGCGGGAGCGAAAAGTAGTCACCATCCGTACCCAAGAAGGACTTCTACTAAACAGTGACAGATATCCTATACGAGATCCTTTCTTTAAGATGTTACCGCGAACCCTATCTAATTTCATGAACGCTTTTACCGCTTCTGACCATACCTTTTACCCTTTCGCCACGACTAATGAGCAAGACTTTAAGAACTTGATGGGCGTGTATTTAGATGCGACATTACATCCGCTATTGAAACAGAGCGACTTTACGCAAGAAGGATGGAGAATTGGACCGGAGAATCCCAAAGTTGCGCTCGCCGGAGAGTCCGCAAAACCAGAGGATTCGAAGCTGGTCTTCAAGGGCGTGGTGTATAACGAGATGAAGGGGCAGATGTCGGATGCTGGATATCTATACTATATCAGATTCCAGGATCACATATTCCCGGCCATTAACAACTCTGGCGGAGATCCTCAGAAAATGACCGATTTGACGTACGAGCAGTTGAAGAAATTCCACGCCGAGCACTACCACCCAAGTAATGCTAAGGTCTTCACGTACGGTGATATGCCTTTGGCTGATCATTTAGTGGAGGTAAATGCCCAATTGAGCGCTTTTGAGAAGATTGAGGGAGACTTTGAGATCCGCCGGCCTGTTGATCTTAGCGGAGGGCCACAGAATGTCACGGTTGCCGGTCCTATCGACCCGCTTGTACCTCTAGATATGCAGTACAAGACTTCAACATCATGGTTGATGGGAGATACCACCAATATTTTGGAAAATTTCTCCGTAGGCCTGCTGTCCAATCTACTCATGGATGGGTATGGATCACCTCTCTATCGTAATTTGATCGAGGCTGGGCTGGGGACCGAATGGAGTCCAAATAGCGGTTTCGATGGATCAGGCAGAGTCGGTATATTCTCAATCGGCCTTACTGGCGTGAAGGAAGCGGATGTGCCAAAGGTCAAGGAGACGATTCATAAAACATTCCAGGAGGCGTATGAAAATGGGTTTGACCAATCCAAAATCGAGGGATATCTTCATCAGCTAGAGTTGGGCTTGAAACACAAAACAGCAAAATTCGGAATGTCATTGATGCAAAGAATCAAGCCAGGGTGGTTTGAGGGCGTGGACCCTTTCGAGGCATTGGCCTGGAACGACACTATTAATGCGTTTCAAGCCGAGCTTGCCAAAGGCGGCTATCTAGAGGGCCTGTTGAAGAAGTACTTGCTCAACGACGACACTCTTACCTTTACTATGACACCCTCGGCGACTTATGCGGACGAACTTGTGTCAGAAGAAGCTACAAGACTAGCAACTAAGATCGAAGAAGTTACCAAGAAATTAGGGGGTGAGGCAGAAGCTCGTGCGCAGCTAGAAAAGAGAGAACTTGAGCTTTTGGAAGAGCAAGGAAAATCAAATACCCAAGACCTTAGCTGCTTACCGACAGTGTATGTCAAAGATATACCTAGACAGAAGGATGGTGCCACTCTGAGAGACTCGAAGGTCGACAAGGTCAATGTCCAGTGGAGAGAAGCCCCAACGAATGGACTTACATATTTCAGAGCCGTCAACACATTCGAAAACCTTCCAGATGAGTTACGAGAGCTGATTCCTCTATTCACTGACTCCATCATGCGGTTGGGCACTCCAGACATGTCAATGGAGCAATTGGAGGATCTTATGAAGTTGAAGACTGGAGGTGTCAGTGCTGGTTATTACTCGACTCCATCGCCTTTTGACTTCAAGTCCTCTACAGAAGGCATGAGTTTCTCGGGGACTGCGCTAGATCGAAACGTTCCTGACATGTTCAACATCTTGCGCATGCTGGTGCTCGAAACAGATTTTGATAGCATCGAGACACAATCAAGGATCAGGCAGCTACTACAAGGGTCGGCTGATGGTGCCGTTAACAGTATTGCATCTTCCGGTCATGTGTTTGCCAGAACAGCGGCCGAGGCCAACATTACTGACTACGGTCGATTGAGAGAGCAGGTCGGTGGTCTATCACAGGTGAAGCTCGTCACTTCGCTAGCATCCAGACCAGAATCTGAAGGACTAGCGGATGTGGTTGAGAAGCTAAAGGCGATTCAAAAGTTTGCCTTGTCAAGCTCTAGTACCTTTCGTACTGCTATAACCTGTGGTAGCGAGAGTGTCTCTGAAAATGAGGCATATCTACAAAAGTTCTTGTCAACTTTGCCTTCTTCCACACCATCATCTCCTAAAGTACCAGCGCCAAATCTTTCCCGGAACTCTAAAACTTTCTTCCCACTTCCCTACCAGGTCTATTATGGAGCTTTAGCACTTCCTACAGTCTCCTACACATCATCCGCTGGCGCACCTCTTCAAATTCTTTCCCAACTTCTTACACATAAACATCTCCACCACGAAATCCGCGAGAAGGGTGGTGCGTACGGGGGAGGAGCCTACTCCAAGGGCATAAACGGCATATTTGGTTTCTATTCTTATCGCGACCCAAATCCTCAAAACACCATGTCCATCATGCGTAATGCTGGGCAATGGGCCGTGGAAAAGCAATGGACACCACGAGATCTCGAAGAAGCAAAACTATCTGTTTTCCAGAGTGTGGATGCGCCCGAAAGCGTTAGTAGCGAGGGTATGACACGTTTCCTGAGCGGAGTCACCGACGAGATGCTTCAGACTCGCCGTGAACAGCTTCTCGACGTAACGACCGAGCAGGTTAGAGAAGTTGCGCAGAAGTACGTTGTTGATGCGTTGGAGAAGGGGGAGGGCAAGATGGTCTTTTTGGGTGAGAAGAAGCCTTGGGTTGATGCGAATTGGGAAGTTAAGGAATTGGGTATGGCTACTGCTCCCGCGGAACCGGAGATTTTGGATGAAGAGGATGTTAAGGATGCTGCTTTGGGATCATGATTGTGTAAATATGAGGTGGTTGTATGATACTGTGTTCCACTCCTGTGTATATCAGCGTGTTGTAAAATAATTGTAACAATATAATGATTGACAAAATTCACACTCTGAACTCATTTCTTCTCCCCAATGACTCGCTCCTATGAAGGCAGAGCAAATACCTCTTGAGTACTGTCACATCCGAGCGGTAATTACCAGTGGGGGCAAGGAGAACAAAGCGAGAACGATTTTATAGTGTGGCGGATAGCTATGGCGTTGGCGGAGATTTTTTTTGTTTCGCCACGAATCCCACCGCCACAGAAGTGCGACGTGCAACAAAATTGTTTAAATATCCGAATAATCCGTGAATTCGTTGAAGCTCAGCTTGATAAATGGGTTTTTTGGGGGTGGGATATTGGTTGGAATATTTGTGTGAGGCGGTGCTAGGGACTGGGGATTTTAGGGGAACAAATGGCTCGCTTGTGAGTGGGTGGAGGAGGTTAGGAGGTTGGAGGTTGGAGTGTGGTGGATGGGGAGATTGTTTTTGCTGGTATGATACTAGTGGTTTTGTGACTTCTAAATCGATACTGTCTTCCGTATGTATTTTTGAAGTGTTCTGGATGTTATTAAAGTAAACAGAGAGAAATCACCGAGTAATATAAATATTTGGGAGGCGATCTGAAGATTACAGACTCGTAAGAGGATTCCTTTTTGAGGATTCGATTCTGAAGCGAGCAGTCTAACGCACTATTATGTTCATACGCTGGAGGCATCACTCACCAAGGGAATGCGCCAACAATTCAATTGTTTAGGAGGGCTGACTGGCGAGGAAGACCTTCGATGATTGCGAAGTCTCGAGCACTTTTTGGAATCATCAGCAAGAAGCGTTCCCACCGAAATCCGAAGGGGGGTGCAATTCATGATTGTAATGCTAGAAAATCGATATTTTGTCGCATGTCCAATGTCGAACCGCGTCAACATGCGATGTGCAACAGTTTTTTTGAGCCATCCAGGCCCTGTTTATGTCTTGTGGATTTGCAGCATACATAAGTCTCTTGTAGTATTTTGAGTGGAAATTATCTCCGGCATGGTGATTCAGGTGGTGCTGTGAGATTCTGAAGGGGGAGGCTCGCTTAAGTCATGAATGATTAGGGGTAGACGAGGATATGATGTGTGTCTTTGGAGACATTTGGTACTGTTTTGTTGAATGATGGACCTAGATTTTGGATGATTAATGGGTGACCTAGATCTGATTGTTCTGTTCTTGTGATGCAGTCTTTGGAAATACTGTGGCTTGTGAATGATGCATCGATGTTAAGTACATGTGAGTCTCACATTTGATATGTCTGCGAAGAATTGTGTGGAAACTGGGGTGAACTTGGAAGCATAGACACATGTTTGAAACTTCAAAAGTAGACTGTGGATTTCACAATTGTTGCTGTCTCGACTCATAAGCAGACAACAGGAAGATGACAACCATCTCGGTTACTCAAGTGTCTCCAGGCAATTAGTGTAATCCTCATGTGGAACATGTGTACATCAGATAATGAAGAAATGGCTGGAAATGCAATTCACACGCCTTGATGATGAGTTGCTACCATCCTTGAATGACTAAGAATCATGGAATAATGAAAGAAGGTTCAACCATTATTCATATTCCATTTTGTTGTGAATTCGAGTTGGCTTCTGGAAAAAGTATTTAAACCTGCTTGAGGTCTCTCGAGATCTCTCTCCTACAGAATCCAGAATACAAAAGAAAGCCACAGCAATACCTGCACAAAAGCTTCATTACCATTAAGACTTTGCATTCAAGAAGTACCTCCTTTCAAGATGGCAGCATCTCCAGCGCACAAAATATATAATAACATGGAAATCACATTGACAAACTGCACTTTCAAACTCAGATCGCCAACCCCCGACGATGCAGAATTTCATTATAAGTTGTTGACCAATAAACAAGTCATGAAATATGATAGAATACACAACCATTATGAGCTGGGTGAAGATGCTGCCAGCAAACAACATAATATTGGTATCCACAGAAAACAAATTCAACAAAGTATACAGAAGTCGCAAAATGGACCTTACTGGGCCGAGGACGGAAAATCCGCAAATCAAAATCTATGGGGCATGGTGGAGTTTGTGATCGAAGGTACTGAAGGAGCCGATAAAGGGAAGAGACTTGGATGGACTGGCGTTCATTCTTTCAAGATCGACCCAGAAGCACCGGAAGATAAGAAACTCGGAACTGGATTACAAGCTCGGTTTCAATGCGTCTTGGAAACGGAATACCAAGGAAAAGGGTTGGCTACCAAGTGTCTCAGACTTATGACACAGTTTGCTTTCGAGAAGCTCGAGGACGCTGGTAAATATTATATCAACAAATTCGAAAGCGTAGTCCACAAGGAAAATCAAGCTCTCATTCATATAATGGAGAAGAAAGCAGGCTGGAAGGAACCTTTCCCTATGGAGAAAACAGAAGATGAGCATCTTATCTCATACAGAATCACAAAGGATGAGTACCTGAAGAAGAATCCATTCGCAGATGTTGCTGAATTCAAGCACTGTTAGTTCTCTGGCCGCCACGTTCAAGGATGAACACACCTTTACAATGTAGAATTATGTATCATATGGGGTTTCTAATATTCTAGTTAAGGAGTTAATATCGTTGATGTTCCCACGTTTGTATTATCAAAATAGAAAATATATCATTGTTGGCATTATTGAGCGTCCCAAAAAGGAAATGCTTTAGGGTTTGATCGCTACTAAGGTGATAACAAGTGATTCTATTGTACAACTTCGATTTCTCATGCGCGAAGAAAGCATTTGTTGATGAGCATCTCTGATTGCGTTAGTTCTCAGACGATGAAGACTGACATAAACCTTTGAGTTCTGAGAAACCAAGTACATCAAATTAACAGTAAATGAACATCATGTTGAAATGATTTGGACTACAGGAGCCACCACATGGTGCCTGTTTTTCTTTTTTTTGTGATCGAAAAGTTAATACTAATCGAGTACCTAAGATTGCTGTCACAGGATTGTTTAGTAAATTCAGCGATCTTGCCCATACATATAGCGATAAATAGCAATCTGTGAACTCTGACCTCTACAAGCATCAGACGTATGCAAGATATGGTGGCGTACATTGGGGGCTGAATTTGTCGAACCCACCAAAAGTATAAAAATAGAATCAACAACTGTCATCCCCTAATTATTCCACCCTTTCTATCTCTTCTCATCCCCAGTTATTGTGATTCTCTACTACAAAATGTGGGACATTATACCGGCTCGTAAGTCTGAGGCTGTCGAAAGCGATGCAACGGAAAGAGGTGGAGGTGAGAACAGAGAGGATAAAGAGGATGATAATCGTGAATACAGTGGTAGCGATAGCGAGACCATCAAATCACAGTCTTCTGATGACATTTTTCCATTCTTGAAAAAGTCACCTAGTCCCCGAACTTGGAACCGTCGTTGCTGTCCAACATGTGAAGCAATGACGGGAACGCTGGAGGGACTGAGCGCGCTGGTCAGCGGCGGCTACCAGCACTTGAACTGGTACCAGATTTGTGAAAACACCAATCTTGGATGTCGGCTCTGTTGGGAGATTCAGCATATTCCCGGTGTGTGGCTTCGCGATGACGATGGAAATTTGCCTCTTGAAGAGGTGATCATTCGTGCTATCACTTCTGTTCCGTCGAAGAATGAAATAGGTTCTGTAAAGCACCCCTTCGAGAATCTTCTTCTACAGAATCTCGAGATTATCATACCTAGTTTGGTGGTATATGAGAAATCAGAATTTCCTCCGCGGCAGATTTTATTCCACCCAGTGACTTGGGAAGGTAATTATATTTCAGGTGTCAATCCGGCAGTATCCCAGTGGTGTTGATTCTTGAACAGATGATGGAGCTGCCAGGTTCATCCAAGGAAGAAGAGAGACGAAGGACATGAGCCCAGAAGTCGTTGGTATGATTCATCAAAAGCTTGACAACTGCTTCGGAAACCACCTCTCATGTCCTCGGCGACGCTCCCCTGAACTGCCGCGGAGAGTTCTTGATGTTGGTTCTGGTACTTCGCCAATTCGAATTTACCATCCTGCAGAAAACGAAAAGGCGGAATATGCAACATTAAGTTATTGCTGGGGTAGTGGTGTTGAACATATTACCACAACCACTTCAAATTTGAGCGAATACATGGTCGCTTTGCCTCGTGATCTACCGAAAACAATATTGGATGCTATTGAAGTATGCCAAAAGATATGTGTTCGTTATCTCTGGATCGACGCATTGTGTATCATACAAGACGACGAAAGTGACAAGCTAGACCAAATTGCTACGATGGGGTCGATATACAAAAGCTCCTTCATATCCATCGTTGCAGCCAGTGCCCAGGATGTTAGCCAGGGATTTCTCAAATCAAATTTTGCAGAACCTTCAGTCGAACTACCATTCTTCATTGATGGCGATACGTGTGGGATAGTGTATCTTAGGATGTTCCCGGTTGGATTGATTTATGCTGAGGACGAACCTACTTTTGGAAGAGCGTGGACCTTGCAGGAATATATGTTGTCACCGCGCATTCTGGTGTTCGACTGCTGTCAGATAACTTTCAATTGTCGAAAGGAGAGCTTTCAGCCGGTTGTTGAGACGCACTTGGAGGTAATTTATAACTGCACTACCTTGCCGGTATCTGTGTTCGGCGTATTAGATGATGACCCAGCATATAAACAGCGGCTCCTACTAGGGAACGATAAAAGAGATCTCCAAGAGTGGACTTGGTCTCAGATTATATGGGAGTATAGTAAAAGGGACTTGACTCACTTCGAAGACCGCCTACCAGCATTGGCCGGAATAGCTTCAGAGCTGGCTCTAGTTTGGAACGATACCTACCTCGCCGGTTTCTGGAAACGGTCTATTATGCATCATCTCGGTTGGTTTCGGTTGGTTGAATTGAAGAATATGCGCCCGATGAAAAAGATATTTCAACACATAGATCGCAGTCAGCGTCTGGGATCTCCCAGTTGGTCGTGGATCACAATGCCTTATCCGATTCGAATTGATCCTCCAGAGCATATAGATGCCAAGTTGATTGACAGCAAAGTAGAGTTGGTATCGGAAACGTCTCCTTTTGGACAAATTTCCAGAGCTCTCATAACTCTGGAGGCACGAATACTGGAAGCAAAGAATCTCGATGTGATAAGAAAGGAGAGCCACCCTGCGTCTTCAGATCGGGGTATTGTCTTTGATTTTGAGACTCCAATTGATAGGTTGGATGATTTTCGGCTACTATACCTGAGCTGTCAGGCTGGAGAATGGTTCGGAGAGCATCGGGGGCTGTTTCTAGTTGTCGAGCAGTCTGCACTTGGAATGTTCAAGCGTGTAGGGCATATTTGGTTAGACGATTCTGAACCAGTGTGGAAGGACTTATTGAACGCAGCTAAAAGAGAGGTTGTAGTTCTAGAGTAGCAAAACGATTAATCAATCGCAACGAGTGAATCCAAGTGAATCCAAGTGATGATAGGGATGATGATCCCATCAATGACGGCCGAGATCAGAGAAACAGATGCTTTTTATAATATGGAATCATTCGATGCAAACGGTCAAACAGCTACCTATCACTTTACCCTGGTATTCCCCATTGAAATTGAGGTCTCAAGATTGAACGTTCTGACAATGGCCGATATAGCTCGAGATCAAGTGGAATTATTAACTCTTTCACGTTGGATGTGTTCAACGTGAGAATCGTCGTCCCGAGTCTCCTGGCAGCTTTCTTTCTAGACTGTGGATTTGAATGCCAAACAGAGTCAAGACTGAAACTCCCGAATATGAGCTGGTGCTTGTAGTCTATATGTCGATATTTCGTCAACCAAAGCCTGAGTTCCATCATGCGCGATCGCGCCTGCCTCTTGGTCATGCAGCTATCATCACTTCATCTTAAACTGCGTAATGCGTCTCTTCCTCCCACACACAAACTCAAAAACATATTCTTATCTCAAACCAAAGCATACGCAACACCTAAGATACAAACTTACCTCACACCTAAGATACACAATCTCTTCATGGCACACGGACGAAGACGCGCGAGAAGACGGGAGAAGAAACTAGCACGCAAACAGGCCTACCAAAACAGAGTCGATCGAAAGACCTATTCAGAGAACATACATTCAAAATGTCATGCTCCACGTCAAGATCCACTGGTGGAGGCGAATACCGACGGTGTACCAACTTCGACGACCACTCAACCCTCAGCACAATCGCTGGTTAGCCCGCAGATTCAACAGACCAACATTTTCCCTTCTGAATTTGGGATTTATACTAGTTTCTTTACACGCGGTATAACACTGGCTCGGAGCCGTGAAGAATCCAAAACCGCGCCTCTATTCCGGGTGTCAATATTCTCATCCAAACCCCATATGGAATTAAGGCGCAACAACGATTTGCGCTCACCGAGAATGGCAACAGCGACCTTCCACAGACTTTCACCAGGAACCGACATTTGTTTAAGCCAGCCCGGTGAAACAGACGTAAACATTATTCTCCAAAACAGAGAAGCTTTTACACTTGCGTCATCCTTTGTTGTTCCCATTCGCAGCGGCCTCATGAAGTCATTCAGATGGAAAAACAGTCGCGGGGTAGAAGTAGCATCCCTTCATGGCTACGGGCACGGGGCAAAACTCGTACGGGAGACTACTGGACAGGTGGTGGCTGCATGGACAGTTGCGAGCACACGCTGGAGGAGCCATAGAAAGATGGCATGGATAGCGGCATCAGGAGGTCAAGATCCCAGAGAAGAACTTGGGGCATGGTTCGAGTTGGCTTCCGTTATGACGTGCATGGTTATTATAGAGTTAAAAAGAAGGCAGGCTGCCGCCCGGTCTGCCGCCGCCGCTAGTTACCAACCCCATTGACTTGATAAGAACGGTACAATTGCTAGTCCTAATGGTAGGTTAGCACTATTGATCAAGTTTCTTTTTTAATGGAAAGAGGTACACGAGCCAGACCATTTCTAGAACAAGTATCTCTTTTGAAGTTGTTTACTCTAAACCGATTTGTACAGTGAGCGAATAGAAAGCCGGGACTTAACTTGCATGAATGAGTGCATTTGATACAACGAATAAAGGCTCGGGACTCGGTGTTCTTATTAATCTGAGTAGATGTGTTTTCTCACTTTGAGGGTTGTTTGCGGACCAGTAGGCTCCGAGTCATGCTTCGAGGCGTCGACCAATCCACTCGTATCATATATCTGGTTCCATGAGTATTATCGCCTTCCTTGAAACAGTTAACAGTATGAACAATCTGTCTGATTCTGTCGATTATTCAAATTTTTAGTTGTGGAAGTGACTTAAGCCTGCGCATTGATGCTTGATATAAAAAGTGAATGAACCAAATTCTCGAAATTTGCAGCATCGGAAATGTAGTAACTTATTACTTAGATGCGGTCAGCATTTCTTCCAAATCGCCTGAGGAGAGAGGATATGCAAAAGTACCATGATTCTTACAAGATAGATGACCGATTTGCTGATACTCCCTACTTTTTTTCCACCGCGACACGTTAGATTTCTTATTACGTCGCCTGAGCATATATACTCTAGACTGGTATATGTACTGTTTTACATGATTTTTTTATGTTGTGATTAACTGTGTGTTTATTGTCCTGTCACTCAGAAGTTTTACTGACTTAACAGGGAAAAATGAAGATATTTTGTTTAAGATTTGTTATCGTATAAGATTAAGTAAAAAGGGGGGAGGAGTTGTTTCCGATGCCAAGGTTGATCAGTCACAAGGATGATATTGGACCCCGAACCAACGTCACTGTAAATACTAGCCAACAACTTCAACTTGCGCTTAAGAGAAGCAATTTGACAAAGAGGATATAAAGATCGATATAATATATGTATTCGAGTAGGTAGGGCTGAAGTCTCAAGTAAGTGAAGCCGACACCCGAGATACGTGCTTGGCACGCTGCGCTCTACGTCATGCGGGGTGAAAGCAAGAATGCGACTGCTCTCGTTGCAAAGAGCAATATGTTTACTGCTCTTATTATATCTCATTACTTTGCATACTCAAATAAATAGCGGAAACTTTACTTCTAACCTAATAGCAAAAAAGCTGAAAGTAAATCACACCAAGCAGTTTGTCTTCCTCTAAATAACCTCAATACAACACTGACCATCAGACACACTTCACCTACGACATAATGTCCTCCCAACCCTCCACGTCCGAGAAGATCAAACAAACCACCAATTCCGCCCTCGACTCCGTATCCTCGACGGCCAGCGCCGCAGATCCAAATTACGACCCCAACAAAGACAGACACAACTTCGCGAAAGACGACCTGGGGAATAAATTCAAGAAGGGAGATTACAAAGACCAATTGAACCAAGCAGCCCACGGTGGTCCCAAAACCGAGGAAGAGAAACCGCAGGGGTATTTAGAGAAAGGTGAGATCGAAATCGCTGTTTTTGATGTGAGGAGGAAAAGCTGATGGTGTGATAGTGGCTTCGTATATCCCGGGTATCAGTTCCTTGCAGCAGCACGCGTATGAACAGGGTCCGGAAGAGGATACGTCGAGTAAGACGCCGCCGGGACCGCCGAATAGACCGGATCATGATGTGCAGGTTGAGGAGTTTTTGAGGAAGCAGTATTCTAGTAGTAGTGGTACTGGGATACCAGAACCGAAGGGTTCGAGTTAGGAGGGGTTTGCTTGGGAATGGGTGTTGTGGAGTTAGGAATGGCGTTTGGGAATGGGTGGGATAGACGTGGAATAGAGAGTGGAAAAGGTGAATTTCATGGATTGGGCAGGGCTAGGCTTTTCCTCATTTCAGAAATTCATAATGGTATGTGCTGCTGGGAAACGTCTGATGTTTTGATATGAGAAATTGAGCTTTTTCTGTGTTTACTTGTAACTCATACCAGTGCGTATCAAATGGGCAGATGGTACAAGGGTTCGCATGTAGCTGGTAGAGACTCCAATGTTAGAGTGCTTTCATTATTTTCTAACCACGGCATTTCAAGTAAGAGGTTAAAGACTAATTCATTTACAGAAACATTCGATCTCCAATATCATCGCCCGATGCATCGTACTTGAAGCTCATACCTCAAGCTGAAGACTTCGGCTTCCTTCTGGACTCGTCCTTCCACACTCAGTTCTGTTTACCGTCTCGTCCAGGTGCATCAATTCACAATCAGTCCCATGGCAACCGACTTCTCCGTCGCTAAAGCGTCTCCAAAATTCCATCGATGTCATGCCTAGATGCCACGCCATCTTCTTAATAGTCTTCCTCCACCTAAGTCCGCCGCTCTTCTCGCAATCATCCGTTACTTCGTCCAGGGGTATCAGGCTATATCAAACGTCAATCCAGGCAGCGACACGTATAGGATTGCCCCCGTGCTAAGAAAACAAGTCAACATCGCTCTCATCCTCTTAAAAAAGAAACGCAATGAAAATTCACCGAGTACAAAAAGGACACTAGTAGCCAAATATTTGTTCATGTCGTCTCAAACTTGATTCAAATAGGCGTCTCCCTAGTCTTCCTCTCGACAGCCTAAGCCATCCTAGTTAGTTCTTACCAAGCTCAAGAAAACTCATTTTCGAGACCAAAACAAAATGAAAATAGCTGCGACATACCCGATAATGCTTCATAGCCGTCTTATTCGTCGACCGATCCAGATTTCGCGCGTATTTATTCTTGGCCTTCAACTCTAGCTTTCGAGTAGACATCTCATTTGCAATAAGTGCTCGCCGTTGGAGTTGCGATACTCCGATTAATCCGGTGCCACCGTGAGCTCGAGTGGTCACTTGAAGTTGCGTTCTTGGGTCTGTTGTTGTTCCTGTGCTGGTTGAGCCGTCGGTGATTGCTTTTCGTGTTGGAGAAGATCCTGGTTTAGAGTAGGTTGATTGTTGGGATTGTTGCCGGGGGCCGTTGCGGTGGACTAGTGTTTTGCCAGATGGTAGATGAAGACCATTATCATCTATAGAAGATGCTTTGTTTGCCTCCGTGCTACTAGCTTCGTCACTTTGCTCCCAGAACATGCTCAACTCGCCCTCGGAATCAAAGTTCAACATGCAGTGACCACGATCACGCATGTGACTCCTCGTTGCCTCTGTGGTACTTTTTGTGCTGCCGCAATACAGACACTCGTGGAAATCTGCAATGATGGTGTGGAGATAAGCGAGGAAGGTTTCAATGTCGGTCAGGCGGTCTTGATCCGGTATGAAAAGACCATGAGCTTTATGCATATGTTGTATATTCGATTCCGGATCTGAAGATTGGATGTCGCAGAAAAGGCAATCGGCTGGATCGAATTCTGCATCAGCTTCCCCTGATATCTCATCTTCGCCTTCATCTTCGCCCTCGTAATCTAAACCTTTGTCTGAAAGCTCAGCCGTAGTCGGGGAACTTGAATTCTTCGACGGAGATTCTTCGGTCTTCTTCGCGTGACTCAATGTCTTGCAATGATTATCCCATGATTTTGGATTGTGGTAGGACTTGGCACAAGCGAGACAAGTTCGAGAGAAACCAGATGCTTCTACTGAGGCTTCTGCAAGTCGGGCTGGTTTAACTTTGTTTTCAAAATCTTCCAAAGACAATGACGGCAATTCAGCAATACGACGTTTGAGATTGTAAACACTAAGTGATGTCAACGAAAGATCAATAAAATTGAATGTCTTTTGTGCTTACTGCCAGTCACTTTGATTGTGCTTGCGTTGACTCTCTCTATCAACTAATGAGATCTGACATGCTGCACAAGACAGATTCTTTTCAGACTGAAGGGACATGGTTGTAGTTGTTGTTGTTTGGCCAGTGTTTGCACCCACCATATCAATTACGCGAGTAGATAGGGGTAGTTGGTGACTAGGAATGTAAATAATCAACAATTGATCGTATTTTTGAGATTGGATCTTCTGAAAAGAAAAAGAAGTCGGATGTAATTGAATTGGTTGAATCAACAACGAAGAGAAGCTCTTTCAGCTGTCTTTATAATTGATGTTGCGCATCCTAATTAGGAAAGGGCGTCGGTTCGGAGGTGACCAATAGCGCTGCGCCCTGCTTTCGCTCATTTCGACTCATGCTCGCATGATGAGTCGACGGTTTCTGGCTTCCACGAAAATGAGTCAACCTGATACTCGAGGGAGACCTGAACATATACCGATAAATGTGGCTCGATTGATTTGCATGCACATCCTCTAGTGCTGCTCGATATGCAAATCTGAATACCTTGCTATAGAGAAAGTTGTGCTACATCACCTGACTTCATCCGAACTCGATGATAAAGGATTTGTAGGTTTCTAGTCACTAAGTATAATAACAATATTGTAGAGTTTCTGATTTACCGTCTAAAATTGGGGCTGTTAGAGTTGTTCTTCCACATTTGTAGCCGTTGAGCTCAATACTCTACGTTCTGCCAATATATGCCTCATTGAGGATTTCAACATCACTAATATCATCCAGTATAGGGCTCCATGTTCGCCATCGGTGAGGCTCACAAGTACTGGGACCTACCATAGACCTGGCAACTCATCAGAACGAACTGGTACGATTGTCGTCCAGAGCCGTTCATGGGGTAGCACAGCTTCTGTGCGACAACCGAAGGATGCCTTGGGTCGCATGGTCGCTATCTCGCTGTATCCTAAGGGCGTACGGGTGCAGAAGACCAAATACTGACTTCGCCTCAGCTCCCCAATCATGTGTTTCCATGACACTGTGGTCTAGATCCATAATCCATTTCTGATGGTTGAACAGCTAATTGTGCCCACATACACCCAGATCTGATGGATTTACTCTCCCCGAACAAGATTTGGGTTGTCCGCTTTTGAAGGGGAAATTGTGCTGTGTATCTGGTAAACTTTTGAGTCTCGGAGAAGCAGATTTTTGCGAATAATCGTCTTGCTTAATGCGAGTTTGCGAAGGAGGAGGGGATGCTGTTTTGTTGTCAGTGCGACAACTGCGGGTCTGTCGCTTCAGAGGAGGCTCTTCGCTTGTATCTTCAATCCGCTGACGTTTAAGCTTTCGGATTTGTTGCTGATGACTAGTTTCCTCCACAGTCGATTTTTCGAACAAAGCTCTGGAATGAGGAATAGAACATCGTGTTAGTCGTTCGGGATCAGATTCATCTCTCAAGTCTTGCATACCGACTGGCTGAGGCTGCTGTTCGTGTTGCCCGCCTTCAACGACAATCGCATCTGGCGACCTGTGCCTAGTTGACTCGAATTCAATCAACGGAATCTGACTTAGTATCCATGGCAGAAGGCGGTTTTCCTCATTCATCTTCTCCCTCGCCTTTTCGAAAAGGGCCACCCGGCTCATGAAGCTATTGATAATGCTGTATCGTCTACTGCACCTTTCATGTAGATCTCTCTCCTTGTCCAAGGAAGCTTCGGCTTGGGAAAGCTTTCTCTCTAGCAAATGAATATTTTCCAGAGGCAGACGAAATATTTGCGCCTTTTCCAATTCTTTTTCTACTGATTTCACGAACCACTTCGCCGACGCCACAGCCTTCTCAGCACTGGCCTGATCGCCTTCCAGCTCGACCAGGAAAAATCTGTCGAAGGAATCCCTGTTCTCAGACGATTTCAAGACATTTGCATCCATAACTTTCTCAACCTCTTTATCGTAACTCGACTGTCGACGACGGACATATCTCGCGTTCAAGTCATACAAGTTGTAATGGTAGCCCAAATATTCAATCCACGTTGCCAACTTCTCCTGTCGATCAGACTCCTCGTCCAGCGTAAAATCTCGTTCAATTCCATGTCTTCTCAGACAATCGTGAGTTTGTTGACAATATTCCGGAAAGCCTGCTGCCCTGCTAAAGCGTCGGTTTAGAAGAAACATATCCCAAGCATACAATTGCGGCCACCAACACGCCCAGTTATTTGGGTTATCAGGAGTGATCTCCCAGAACGACAAGATATCGCGATATTCGGGTAAGCTTCTCGCAACATCGTAGCTGAGACTAATCGGGTGTGTAGGCCGGCCGCCTTTGGCCACCAGCTCATGATAGAGTCGCACTTGTCTTTCTACCTCAGCCTGATGCAGTTCTTCATCAGTGGCATCTACCGTCGACGGACATGAGGACTCGCAAGGCGGAAACTCCCTTTTATCAGTGATTTCTTCGAGGCGCGAAAAAAGATCATCCACATCGATTGGGGCTGTGACTGGCTTGCTCGCGGCAGCTCGAGCCCTAGACAGCCGTTAGCAAGAGCGATGTGTGAAAGATGTAAGGAATAATCGTCACTTTAGCCTCTGAATGAGGTTGAAATTGTCTTGTTCATTCAGCTTTTCCGGGTCCTTGACAATAATTATCCTGTTTACAAAATCAGTGTTTGAAAAGAAAAAAGAGTTGAGAGTGGCAACCGCCCATTGACGAGAAGATACTCATCAAGCTCTGCATCACTGTACTCAGCAAGATTACTGGCTGAGGGAAGTGAGTCCGCGCGCGACATCTTTGATGCTGTCTAATGATGTTTAAGAAGTCGGATTGGTAAATCCAGATGTTGGGAGCGGGATAGGGGAGACTGTGTTATAAAAGCCCAACCACGTCTTCCAACGCATTCACAATTTCGACTGTTTCGTCCCATTCATGTTGTTGTTTCAAGCATGTTGCTGGGCTCTCCGTACGGCCTTTTGGCCGCTTCTTGATTCCCAACAGGGGAAGGAATCATCTTCGTTGCTAAACATCACACAGCTAATGTTACGTGACTGATGCATCATTCCTGATTGTCGACACTCGTGGGTGTTCCAGCAACGGGGAAACAATATTCCGGTGGAACTTCCCTCTTCGTTTGCATTCTTGGCGCGGCGTAGCTGGCATCTGGCGCTTAGTGGTCTACTTCTATAACGATAAACCAACATTCGAGCGTCCATATCCACTCGGGTCTTTGTATTGGTACAGGCCTGCGTCGGGTCTGTCTCAGATCTGCCAATACAATACGCGAGATCTGCAGCGCAGGAGCAAGGACACAATGTGGCTGTTTGGCACTCCACAATTTGAACCATGAGATCGTCACTGTGTATCTCAGAGCACCAGCATCTCCCAGACCGTTGTGAAGAGTGTAGGTCTCTATTATCCCAGCTACGGAATATATTTGACATTGTCTGAGATAGATCTGTCAGTGATGAGCCGAAAACCTCTATACTTCAATTCTGTACAAACTTGCTTAGTTTGATCACACGTAGTGTGTTCGAATTTACGCACACATGAACTTAAACCCTGCCCAAATGATAATCACCCTCTGTAAAAGTCACACAATTCTCACATGCTGCTATCTCCTCTGCCCTCCACCTGTTACTTAGTCTCGTGCTAATTCAACGGTTGTAGTAGCACATTATCAGGACTCCAGGCTTGTGAACTAAAACCACACATATCACCACAGTTCATTCTTAAATATCTCCGTCTTGGCAATCCGTCTAATATCAACAAAAGCTGCGATATCAAGCCCAAGAATCAATCTCCCTCTTTTGCTAGAGCCTCGATGTGGTAACCGCTACGCACGGAAGACAGCGTAGTCCTCGGACCTATCAAGTCAGCCAATATCCTTGCTCAATCTCAATACCCCATTTACAATAAGTGTGAGGTGTGAGTATCACACTCTTCACACGAATTCTGCTTTCAGTTGAGTAGAAGACTGAAAACATAAATTCGGACAGATGTATTAACTGATAGCCCGAACGGATTTCTCATGAGACTTTTACTACTCAACGAAAGGGATAACTTTTTATATTAATCCACTGCAAAATTTTAGACACGTTTTCATGTAACGTAGTGTAAGAACGTATCCTTAATTTTGCTATCACAGATTCTTTCATACCACTATTTTTCGCTCCTCCTCTTCCGTTTCCGTCCCTCCTCCCCAGTCTCGAAATACCTCGACCTAACAAACTCTCCATCGCCCTCACTATCCAAAACCTCCTCCTCAACGAACCTTTCCAACCCATCATAAAACCTCGGCGTCTTCCCCCCCCCATCCCACCTCCCCGTCTTACAAACCGCATGCTCAACCACCTCCCACCCAACCCTCTCCCCTTGCCTCCCCAGTTCTCTCGCAATAACCTCCCTCACCCCCTCCACACCGCTCTCAATCCTCCCCCTAATCTCCTCATACGACCCATCAATCCGATTCCACCCCCCATCCGCCCTCAACCCCGCCAACTGCGCAACAACAAAAAGCGTCGAATTCCACTGAATCCTGGCCATCTGCTCTTTCGTCCCCCGGCGGAAAATCCTCGCACAGTATAAATCCACCAATTCATCTCTCGTCGGCGGACGTACCAGTCCTGTCACAGCGAGATCAAGAGCCGTTACGAAGCCGACTATATGGCCTACATTATGTACAGTCTGCAGCAACCTCGTCGCGGCACTAGCGCTCATCGGACCCTCCTCTTTACACCGCAGCACCAGTTCAGTTGATACAGCGTGGATTCGCACCCACATCTTCCGGATACTGTCGCATTGTAATACGGTAGTTGAGCATTTCGACCATTGAAACTGTCCGAAACAGGCTGGCGTTCTTTTCCGCGCGGGCTTTGCGATGCCGTTAACAAACACCGTTTTAACATCTGGCTGCGCTTTCCATAACGCGATTAACACCTCTACATTCCCGCTCTGATCCTCAACTTTCTCATCAAGATCTAACTCCAGCACTTTCTGGGACAGAATCGGATCATCCTCACCCATCAGTTTCGCCATCACCCGTTTTGCGACTTGCATAGCGGATATATCGTAGCCTGGTTCTGGGGGAGTAGCGTGTGTGATTATCCCCTGTGCGAGTAGATCGTGCCGGACGAAGTGTTTGAGGGCGAGGATGCTGGAGGTGGTATTGTATCTGAAGGGTTGGAAGTGGACTTTGTTTTTGCAGAGTTTGGCTGTGAAGGATGGGTTTGGGTGGCCGAGGAGGTGTTGGGAGGAGTGGTGGATGAGGGTTGTTAGGGCTGAGATGCGGGTGGGGAGGGCGAGGGAGGCGGCGTGGAGTCGGTGGTGTGCTGATAGGGAGGTGTATGTTTGTTTGAGGTGGCTCTTTTTTGGAGAGAACTTGCTTGTAGGAGATGCGGATTGGTGAGTTAGTTTTCTTTTCTTGTGAGGTGGCATGTTGGAATGTAAAATTAAGGATTTTGTACTTGAATTACTAGTGTCGATATTAAACTTAATAAAATCAATAGAGATATGTCACAAAACCAAAATAGAGTAACTAATTTACTTGTTACAGGACTTCCTATTACTTAACTGCTGTTTTCCCAGTGAACAAACACCATATCCCAACTCCCTCATATTTTCCCATACCACTTTAGTAAGACAAACTCCATTCATTCCCTTTTGTTCTTTGAGAAAATCAAGTTTACATAATTGTGATGTAGCTGCGAAGACCACCTTCCGAATAAGATGTCGCCATTCCAGTGTGACTACGTTCATTCACAAAACTCCCTGCAGCCCAAAAGCCAAAGGTGAACTGGACCCAACCACTTTTTTGTTGCACATCGCAACATGGGAATTGCATCATATTTTTGTAATGACATCAACTTGCTTGATAGCTCGATGACTCTCTCATTCTATTGCACGTCGGAATTTCCCGTCTCCATCCTTTTGGGAATAGCTTCAATTCCAAATCAACATAGCTCTATTATTCACAGACTCCCTATATGTTAGTGAGTAACCCATGTGGCATAACAGGTGAAAGCAAACCGACTAACTCTTTTGTTGCATTTCGTAATTTCCCGTCTTCTAGGAATAGCTTCAAAACTCATTTGACGAATATCGTTGTGATTCACCTCTAACAGCCTGAGAAAAATGAAGATGGCGGGATGGCCAATCATATGCTCAGCAACTACTAGCACAAAGGTGAAATAGGAAACAGTGAATGTAGCAAATCAATCTAATGTTTTGTTGCATTTCGCAATTTCCCGTGTTTTGGGAATAGCTTCAAAAGTTGCTTAATTGGGATAGTTGGAATTCGGTGCTAAGAGCTAGATCGGATGAATCACTGCCAGACAGCGAGGTTTGAATTTAGTAATCGCATCTCCCTGCTAATGAGAATGAGTTTGATGTTCAGAATTTATCGCGAAATGTCGTTAAATATCGCACTCCTAAGTCCTTCTTAAATAAATTTGTCTTCAAACCGCCCCCCCCCCAACTCTCATTACTATCATTTACCTCCACTAGCCAAACACAATCAATCACCAACCCCCATTTTAACCTTTAAACTTCTCATCTCATACATCGAAATCCAGAGTAGTTGGTAGATCTAAGATCTGTCACAACCTTTTGTTGCACGTCGCAGTTTCCCGTGTTTTGGGAATAGCTTCAACCCCTCCTCAAAAAGATGGTTGTGATTCCCCTCCACCAGCTGAATAGAATCACTTGCTCATATACACAGCACAGCCTATCTGTTGAATCTCAATCACAGATTGAAGAGTTCCAGGCTAAAGGTGAAGTTCACCATCCCTAGTCACAGACTTTTGTTGCACATCGCAATCTGGGAATACCTTCATTTCCGCATCAGGTGGGATAGTGGTGACTTGTACCCATGCCCTGAATCATGAAATTAATCGACGGCTCTATGTTACTACTAAAACAGTAATTTATCTAAATCTTAAATCACAAACTCTAGAATCCTGAAGTGAAGGTGAAGTTCATCATCTATCTTTCGTGTCAAAGTTTTGTTGCATTTCGCAACCTGATAATAGCTTCATTTTTGAGGAGAATCAGATGCATGGGATTTGAAAGGATGAGGTGGTTGATGAGATAATTCATGGATTCGCTGTCACTCTTATATATCTATATGCCTTTATCACCTTTCCCCTATTTCAGTAATGGCTAAGCGAGGTATTTTCACCCCGTTTTTGTTATATGTAAAGTTCATTACATGAACAGTTATGTTCTAGCTATAGCCCATAGATATATACCAAGTTTTACTATCTCCCAAAAACAGGAAAAACAACCATCCCTCCATTCTCTTGGTTTCCATACCCTAAACACTCCGCGGACATTTTGCTTTTGTATATCTCTTGGAAATATCATACATCAAAATCATTGGGTAGTAAAGCTTGGAAAACCTTATCACCTGATCAGCCTCTCTTAAGCTACTAACCTAAATGATCCATTTTCCATAGACCTCATCCGACCACCTACACTTCCTGATCACCTCTCGCCAAATACCCATCACATGACCCACTCCCCTCTGGTCCCCCTCCACCACTCCCCTCCCCCCACACATCTCCAATCCCACTCCCCACCCCACAAAGCACAATCCTCACACAAACCCGAGTTCCACCAATACAAAACAAGGCCCATCCCAGGCAACAGCTCGTTCTAGATCTCGCAGATTCCATTCCATGAGAGAAAGGCGGGATCGATTAATCTAATATTTTCGCGACGTGCAACAAATCCCGAAAATTAGATCTGTGAGGTGGGAGGTGCTGTATGGGGTTATGTGGACATGTGAGAGGAGGTGGAGAGATAAAGCGACGATCGGAGGAGAGTATTGGGATTTTAATGAGAAGAGAATGGTTTATGCAGTGACAAACAACACCACAATTATTTCTTCCGCCAGAAAATTACGTAGAATCAATACCCTCTTGAACAATTCAAAATTCGACCTCAATAATGAAGCCGTCTATACTTCCCCCAGGGCGAGCTCACGATCTACACCTCCATCCCACAGAATCTAGATCCCCCATTCCAGCATTCTGTACGCAGGGACGCGGCGTAGAATCTTGGACTCAGTTACAATGACTAGGGTCTTTCTTGGTTTACTTATGTAGATATAATCATCTTTCGCCAAATTTATCACCTCCTATTCGTTATATAAAGAGTAGGTATTTGGGAAGGAGAGAATTTTGGAAGAACGCAATGCTGAAATATCCGCGGCTCTTTTTCCAATTCAACAGAAGTCCAGAATCTTAATCGCACAATCCTATCCAATCATCACATTTCCCTTCTCAGTTGCCTGGCGCGTGATACTTGAAATAACAAACACACTTATCTTCCTCTCTCCCAACCATCCACCAAAACCTCGTCAGGATTTATCTACAAACACAGACCACCCACCAAACAAAACCTTCAAACTCCCTAATTAATAACACCTCAAGCCCGTATCTCAAACAGCACACTCGCCACGACACCTCATCCCAAAAGCTTGGTACCTCCAAGACGGAAGGTGTTGGCCATGTGGTTCCAGCATTTCGGGTCGCCACGCCGGCGGGACCGTTGACATGTGAGAGGGGAAGGATAATTAGGAATTTGGGGTTAGAGAGTGGGATGATAGGTGCGTGGAAAGCGAACTGAAAATGTGAATTTTGGTGGTTGGTTAGATAGTATGTGGAAGATAGAATTGAAAGGAATTCTTTGACTTACAATAAACTGTCGCATGAGATGCTGATGCGAAGAGGATTACTCTAGAATATCGCGAGCAAGACCTAAATTAGTATCACGATACCACCACTTTATGGCCAACACCACGAACAAACCAACAGAAAGCTAACCAATCCTAAACTAGTCTAGCGAAATAATTGCCCGGACTGTCTAGTGGCCACGCAGCTACTCTAGCATCCTTCCACACCTTCTCGAACACCGAGCCAGAGCCAGCGGACAGGAGGAAGCTTCAGCTAGCGTTTGCAATTGGCGCATGCGAGAAACTTGGTTTTTCGGTGGTACTTTTGTGCACGCCAGCGCGTGCGACACTAGATGATACCTAAGATAGAGTATTGCAGTAGACTTGTATCAAGTCTTTTCATGACCTCATCTTGTGCACTATCGTGAGATTCTGTCTGAATTAATTGTTGGTGTTGAGATTCGTTCGAAAGGGATCCAGGCCCGGCCAAGATTCAGGAACGGGTGGGTGATTCCCAGTTGGGTGGTGAGCCGAGAACAGCCAATGCATGGTGTATGCACGTGGGTATTGTTCCTTGGAGATGCAGATTGATTGCTTTGAAGATCTGAGCTGACAGGAACGAGTTGTCTTCCGAGACAATTTAGTGCAATAATTCGTAGGCCATTTGAAGTAGACATTTGGCACTGGTAAAGATGATGATATTCAGGCACTCGATTCGTGTTCTAGACCAACCGACACTAAAAGCTGGAATCTCCCGGATCTAAAGTCAAAAAAGGAATAGTTTCATGCAAGCCTGGTGTAGGTGCAGGTATTGATCCGCGCGGTATTGTGGCTTGTTGGATTGGGAAATATGGAAGTCTTGCGAGTTCTTTTGGGAGAAGCTGAACGTTGGATGAGACGCTGATGATTGATTTGGAAGGGACGATTAAAATACTCTGCTGATTCTGTTTGATGCTTCCTGAACTCAGAGGCAGACTGTTGTCTCCTCGAAGAGCTAGTCACTCTCGGCGGTTCTCATAGCATCTATCTCGGCCACGAAAACGCTGGTAGGTTAGTTAATCTAAGGTAGTATAACTTCCCTATACCGTCGGCGACACCTCGAACTCGCGGCTCTTCCTTGCGTCTTGGGCAGATAAGCTATCCTAAGCAACGCCACTCTTTATCATCCACCTTGGCTTGGATAGTGGCAATGATGCACAGTGACCATTATTGAATGGTCTGCCGATAGTCGATGAAGTAGAAGTTGTGCTCTCAATAGTAATTTTCCAGAGGGAACACCACGATGCAGTGACCAGCTCAAATCAGCTGCAATGCTTACCGTTGAGCCGTAACGGCTTCTTGCAGGTTGTGACTTGAGACTTCATGTTTCTAAGAGGATTGGTTAGGACTTTCTGTCGTACTGTCACAATGTGAAGACCAGTAGCGCCCTGAGGCCCTGGCTTTGGCTTGCCACGGCGCAAGGAGAGTATCTGAGCAAGTCGAAGTGATACCTCAGCGGGAAGAGATACCACCGAAGCTGCACACTCATCAAATCACCAGCCGCCATTCATGCTGCAGCCAGGATGTAATTCGTGAGACCTTTCGACCCTTTCGACCTTTCCATGCTGTGCATGTCACACAGGTATCTCGCCATAAAATGAGGTATCGCATAACTTTAGGGTCAGTGTTGCGAGTGAGTCCTGCTCTCTTCTCCGGTCTTGCCAGTGACCTATTCTATGATCTCGATCACTTCTCAACACTTCAAACACCAGAAACCCCTACGCATTCTGCTAAGACAAGCTCATCGATAACGTGAATTTGCATATAGTTTCGCGCATTAGCGGTACTTAGAGGCAGGCTAAGCTCAGATCCGTCGTACAGTAATCGCATCGTCGCTCGGAAAAGGAGCACGAAAACGAGAAAAAGTGCGGATTTGGGCTGGAGCTGCAGCGAAGATAGGGAGCCAATTTTGGGGCTAGATCCGACCGCGTGGTCGTGCTAGGTCGTGCCTTGATTGGCCACACAACCCAGCATCGTCTCCACTCGCCATCCTCAACCTGCCTCTCCTTCTCTGCGACACCACTGACCACTGCACCAGCGAGATTACATCAAGGTTCGCATATCCGCAGAGCTTGAGATCACACTCTCCTTTCTCCTCCTCTTCAAATCGTCTCGACGTCGATATACCACCTTCAATTCTTCCACTCCTTCACTCAGGACTTTATTGTTCTGACTGGTCATTGATTGCGAGGGTGCTTAATTACAGTTTCGGGAAACCCTAATAATTGGAGTGAAGTTGGACCCGACAACTCAGACCTCCAAACCACCACACCTTCGCCTCCTGTTGCCGAATACACAATTGCCAACACCCGTGAATTGGCATTGGGTCTGTTGATTGTCAACTGAACGAGATTCCCGAGATCCCCTCTGTTTACATCCTCACACGCGCGGATATTTCACCAGACAACCCCTTACGACCTCCTTATCTTGAACTCGAGTTCACAAGAGTCGTGAAGACTCACCAACCGCTACAATGACGACTCTCGAAGAGAAGATAGCTCCAAATGCTAACGTCCTCACAATTACCCGACCAGCTGCTTCTCGACAAACATCAAACCAGTCATTTGAAGTCCTCTCCACCATCGAAGACGTCGACTCACAACACAGTCTCACCCCTACAAGAACCGCCCACTCCGAAAAATCAGCCATCATGACACAATCCTCACCATACACCGATTCAAAGCAAAGGATCGTCGACAGTACGAACGCATTTCCCGATCTCGAAGCAGGAATGACGCGTGGAACTCAAAATACCGGTACAGGATGCAGAATGCTATCAAAGACCGCAGGAGGTGGTGCCGACCCTTGGCCGTGTACAACTGCCTTGAAGCGTCAACGTAAAGAGCAGAAGCGTCGTAGAGCGTGCTGTGCTTGCTGGGGTGGATTAGGAAAGAAGCAGAAACTTGGTGTCAAGGTCGGAGCTGGTTTTCTCATCGTGGCCATCATCATCCTGATGTGTGTGTTCATCAGCAAGGCTGTCGGTGGTGGAGTCTGGAGCAACCATAGCTCAAATGCTCCAATAAAGGGCAGCCAGTAAACGTTGATGGTGAGTTAAATCAGACCATATCGATGCATATTGCTAACTTTTCTAGTCACTCGACTATCCTTACTCCTCACCACCGGGTCGTCCTGTCCAACCTCTGTCAGTGACTCTTGTCTACATCCGACTCGATGTTCCAACACCTGCGTATCACGTAGATCCTCTCGTATATATTTCCCACATTCACATATTCGGTCTCTTTGGCGTTTCGGAGTCGTCAGGCATCACAGTCTTCATACCCCGCCAGCATTCCAAGGACCCAACCTATCCTCGCTCGTCTGATTTCCATTGTCGACATAGAGTCAAGCTCAAGATAATTCATGTCTGACTGAAGATTCGTCACATCGGCATCCGGCCAGCTCTGCTCTTATTTGATCTCGAGATCGATTCGAGGAACCGAAACGCTAGACATAACAGTCGCTAGTATCCTTGTCGTCTCGTTCGTATGGTATCAGTACTGGTAGCGATGATTTGAAGAGGGTCGGCGAATATCTGGCATGAATACACATCATCTGTGCATAGAAGGCGTGTCGTATCGTATCGTATCGCATACATAAATACCTAGGTAGTGGCATGATAGGTTCTCTGCCGCTGTAATCGACAGTACAAATACATTACTTTTAAGATCCACTTACCTACCTTGTTTGTCGTATCGACTGCGATGCTTGAAGTGATTGCTGTGGTTTGGGATAGGTAGTGGAAAGTGTGTGACTTACTGTGAGATTGTGCTGTAGAGGTAGTTTGCAGAGGTAGTAAGTTGCACTTGCAACATCCCATCCCCGATTCCAAGATGGGGTTCGTAGCAGAGTTTGTTTCTCACTTGAGCGTAGTATGCAGGCATAGCCTGATACCAAGCACTACTCGACAGTTCCAGTAGAGGGTATCGGTATTGTATGAGGAATCAGAGTAGTGTGTGTGTGTGGCGATGCGGAAAGCTTTTCTTTTATGTCATTTTCGAACGAGAAGATAGATCAAAGATACAAAGAATTTTTCTTTCAGCAGATCGTGGGTACTTGTGTCGATTATATGTCAGGTTGTGTTGGCTTGGTCAGATCTCGGATATATCGGTTGGGTGGGGTGCGATATGTACGTGCAGGTGGGGAGAGACGGGTTCGGAGTTTTCGGGGTTTGTGGGAAGACCGAGGGTTTGGGTATACGATGTACGAATACTATGGACGAATGATATGGGAGTATGGGTGTAGTGATATAGGCGTATTGATAGGTGACGATTTGGTCGGGGAGGGTGCGAGATGGGGGGATGGGTTCGTGAGGATGGTAGGTTTATGAGAGGTTTGAAGGGTCTTGTTTGGGAGGGGGTGAGGGATGTGATTTGTTAGTCGAACCCGGTGGTTTAAACTCGAGATACTGATTTTTCACGTAGCGAGAAACCCGTTCATCAAGGATATCTAGATATTCGAATACATATATTATATTGATTAGCGATGCTGTCGCTCGGTGGTTTAAATCTACTAATCTGTCTTATATGCCATAAATCTGGTTGCGGATTTTGAGATCTAGGGTGGAAATATGGAACTAAGCGTGTTAAACGTGTTAAGTACCTGGTGGTGTGTCGAACTTCTCGTGGATACACTTTACGTATCTTACGTGGAGAGTTTGGGAATCGTTGATATATTACCTTATTAACATGTAGAAGTCGTAGCAATCACCCCGACACATTTCTTCCTCCACGATTATAAACCGCGAGACATAGAAACCAAGTAGCCAGCCACCGTCTTACCACTCCACTAGTATCTCCCGCTTCTCATTATCTGCTTAGAAAGATTTCCGGAGGTTGTGAAGTGGTTAGGGTTTGTGAGGAATACGTTTAAGCTATTAATATCTCGTGTCTTGGAGGTATCTTGAGATGAGTGATGTGAAAATTCGTTATATCATCGAGGATTGATAAATAGAATACTTTGGAATACGACGTCTTGGATTTACGGGGATTAAGTGTACTGTGCAAGATTTCGTGTTAGTACTACTATCCTGACTAACAATACCTTGAATTATTGAAGTAATATGGGGTTTGGTTGCTATATTTTCTGAAGTGAGGAAGGAGGTAAGTTTGGAGGTGAGAAGTCTTCGTGCGTATTGAGAAATTAGTTTGGTTATTTCATTTACTTCTCCTCTCGCTTAAGCTCTGTGTGATATGATAATTAGGGGGTTGAAGGTATTCTAAATATCGAAACAATGTAAAGTCATAAATAAACGGTTGAACTTAAAATCAGCCCTCTTTTTAAACGCACTTTCTTTACGTATTCTGGAATAGAGCACGAGATTTCAATGACACTAACGTGGAATATGATTTCAGATGCTTGGAGACTTCCACCTAAATATAACCTAGATATTCCCTATAGATACATTAAACCAAAAAAGCCCAGTATTTCGTACTATTTTGATAAATGAAATCAAAACCCCATCCATCGTCAAGAACTGGAGAAACGAGTCTCGATTCGTCGATCCTGCCTCCCAATTCATGTGAACGAAAGCTCAGATTTAACGGTCATGAGACTTGCTAGTATTCCTATGACGTTTGTTGATTATATTTGTTAGATTTACTGAATATAGTCAGTCCATAATTCAGTATAATGCCTAAGAAGTCAAGAATTCCTTCACCCAGTATCATCCATCCGCGTGAACAACACTCATACAAATCTACGCAGGCCCATGAGATCCATCTCCCTAAGTTAACATCACAACACGTAAAAAGTGGCTACATAGATTCAGCAACTTGAATTTACTCCAGTCTAGTTATTAGGTTGTTACACGAGAACACAGCCTTAATAGGGCGTCTCAGAACAGATGTTTACATACTGAGCGGGATAGAAAGTCACTGTCCGGATTTCGTTGTTGTTTATCAGGGAAATGCAAGATACAATTCACATATTTGGAATGTTGCGTGTAAGGATGGATGGGTTCGCAGACTGAATTTGCTCATGGGACGGGAGCTGGAGTTGTGGTGATACTGAAACGGATTCTACCGGTTGAGACAATCATGATTTGACCGAATAGAAGCTTTTGAGCCAGAGGAGATGGGGAACTAGTAGATCTGTCTTTTTAGCTTCTAACAGAATGGGTAAGAAGTGTTAGAGGAAAGAGTGTGGGGAAGGAGGGGAACTAAATGCTGTAGATATCTACTTCTAGAAGTCTATAGCATAATCGGTGGCCATCCTTCATAGTTGTCGATTTATCGAATATCACGGCTCTTTTTCAAGTTTAGGTGCCATAATTGTATGGATCCCTTGAGGGAATTTATTAACCAGTATGAGAGTTTTAAAGCAACAACTGCCCAGTTGTATGAGATTAATTCAACCAATCCAAATCCCAGACTACGAAATACTATGTGGCTTTAAGACCGTGTATATAGGAGCTTGTCACTTGCCACACGTATCTTGTTCCATTTTCGCGATTTTAAAACCAGGAAATTCACTTCTTATTATATTTTACTTCTATTCATTATCGTCCCCGTCAAATTCGATGACTTACAGCTAGCCAACCAGTTGTCTCAGGAGACTTGAGAAATTCAGATACTTTATCTCGAAATGGATATTCGTAAACAGAGAAAAGGGCAAAACCCATGTTCATAGTTCACTACTCAAACAATTTAACTGGACCCCTTCAAGTGAAGCCATCGTCGATTGGCCACACATCCAAACTCCTAAGAATTCACTCTTCTCCCACCGAATTCCCACCTACCCTCGACGAGCCTTCTAGCCCACATACACATGTGTCTTCCATCCTATAAACAAACCAACCTCCTCTTAATATCTACAACACCCACCTCCCCCAATATCCTCCCTCGATCAACCCAACACACTTACACACACCACAGTATCTTTGCACTCACCCACCAAAATGTACCAATACCAACAAAAAGTCGGCTCAAGCTCGAAGAATCCGCAATTCGAAGCGCCGCTGCCAGATCCGTATGAAGTCAAGATGCGCTTCCTGGAAGCGCGCAGACAGCAAAGAGCCGCAGCCCGAATGGCAGAACTGGCTGCGAATCCTCTGCAGACTGCAAAACCAGTCAGTAACGAAAAAGGGAAGACGGTAACTCTGCAGAAAGCAAGAACAATCAGTCCCGCCTCGACTGTCTCCGCACATACGCGTAACACTTCGTCCTCTTCACTTCCATCAGCGGGTAGCGAGACCTCGAAACGTTCTTCCTCACCACGTGGCATTCTGGATATCCTGAAGCGGTCGATTGATGAATATTTTTCGTCTCCGATAGCTTCCTTCTCTTCATCGTTCTCGTCGTCGTTTTCTTCGTCTAGAACGATTACGCCGGAGCCGATTAAGGATGATAGAGATGAAGTGTGGGAGGAACAGTATGATTATCGGAAATACAGCTCACCGCCACCACCACGACCTACTACTCCAATTCCTATTCCGCAGCCTAAGAAACCACCATATACAATGACTCCAGTACCAACACCGATTACTGCCCTCCATATGTCCCGGCCTGAGGTCGTCATCACTACACCAACAAAAAGGAGTATGACTCCCAGACCCAACACTTCACAAGATATCGACTCCGATAGCATGGACCCCCGCTGTCGAGAGTCTCACATCAGAGTCGAAGCGACATTCATCCCTCACCCAACCTTCAAAGCTTCACCACAAAAGTCATTCCATCCGATCGACTCTGTCAGTTCACTTCTTACACCACCACTTCTCTCTTCTGAGTTTGAAGCTCAAGATAAACCTTCATCATCTACAACTAAATCATCGCCTACAAGGTCTGCGGCAAAGATGGCGCCAGGTGCTCCGAAAAAGCCAAAACAGGCGTCAGTAAAGGTGGACTCGGGTAGGAGATTGAATAGACAGGATTTATTCACTCACGATACTTCACCGGAAGATATTGCGAAATTGTATCATGATGGTGAGAGGGATGAGCTGACTACGGATATGTTTGGTGTTGCTGGGGATCTTGTTAGTTCCTACGATAAGGAGAAACATAACCTCTTCAGCAAAGATGAAGATCAAAAGAAGCAAACACAACAACCCACCAAGCACGGAAAGAACGACTCCGGAACGAAACCCGATCCAAAGCCTGTAGCCCAAACACTAAAAGAACTCCAAAGAACCAAGACGGCAAATCTGAAACGCAAGTACGAAGTGGAACCGGTGTCGCGAATGAGTTCTGTTTCGGAGACGGATGATGAGGATATTGAACCAGAGCCTAAACGAAGATGCCAAAAGGGTATCATGTTGAATGAGAGGGTGACTGAGAAGGTGAATGAGAAGGTGAAAGTAAAGAGTGGTCTCGATAAGAAATCAAAGCCGAAGACGTACACCAGAAAGGTGAAAATGCTATCACAGCTATCTCCTTATGATAAACCCAAGGCCAACGAAAACCCCCAAATCTCAGACGCAAAGGGAAAAGGCAAAGAAAAAGCCCAAGAACCCAAAGCAGCAACGAAAGCTGGCAAGAAACGCAGAATCGACCTCGCAGGCTCCATCGTCTCGACCGAAGTCCCAGCATTCAAACGACCTCGTCCTAATCCATCTTCACCTCATCCGAGCTCTACCTCCAGCCCTCGTCATACCCAGAAGTCCAAGTATGAACGACGTTCCCCATCGAAGGAGGCGCAGAAGATTATGAGCGATCTGTACGATGCTTCTCTAGAATCACGTTCATCTCCATCTCACTCTCACGCTCAACATCGATCAAGTCCATCAAAATCTTCCCCTCAACTCACCCGCTCCATCTTCCATACCCACCTCACCACCTTCGAACACGAAGAACAAGATGACAACACCGCGGAACGCGAGCGTAAAGGCGTGTCTAAGCCTAAAAAACCGGCGATGAACGCCCACTCGTATAGTAACGCGGCGGAGAGAGAATTGGAGAGGAAGGGGGAGGTGAGTAAGGCGAAGAGAGAGAAGTTTAGGAGGGATGTGGGGAGGATTGGGAGGATGGAGTTTTTTGGGCGGGAGGATGTGGGGACGATGGGGAAGGAGGAGGTTGAGGGCGTTTTTGAGGGGGCGGGGTTTTGTGTTTAGGTTGGCAGGGGAGAGTGTGGGGGGTGGAGGGGGAAGTTACGCGATTGAGTAGGCGGGAAAATGAGCAGACAATTGTGAGGTGAGGTAAGATGAGATGAGGTAATGGAAGCGAAGAGCGACGAACTGAGAGATGGTGTGAAAGGAGCAACTGAATAGGAAACTGAATTTAGCGAAGTGAAGGCATAGACCGAAATATGAGACAAGAGCTGTGGACTGAAGATAGGAAATGGAAGGAGAGACAATGGAGAATACAGTGAATCCGACACGAGGATACTAGGGAAGAGTACATGCGAGAGAGAAATTCGAAAGAAGAATTCTGGGCAGGAAAAGCCGCAGAAAGAGAACAGGTGAGGTGGAATCGACATAGCACTTCAATGTCTCAAGTGGGATGAGGAAATGAGCACAAAAGGAGGCAGGAGACCCGATCCAGGGACGACCAAAAAAAAAGCTATCGACGACAAATATACGAAACAAAATCCAAAAAAAAAAAAAAAANNAAAAAAACATACGACCCACGATCTAGTGGGAGGACTATTTCTTCTTAGCAGATGA